CTTTGCAAGGGGTTATATCGTTCGGAGTCTTTACCAAAGTTCATCTGTAATGTCTGGCGTCTAATCAAAGCTTACAAGGTAGCCTGAAGCAAATAAAAAGGACCGATTGACCGGAAACCAAGAGAAAAATCCAACAACAGAAACAGACTCATAAGGATTCAGATATTGGAGTTATTAGGGAACTTTATAATAGCTATGATGAACATAGTCAAGAAAATGGAGGAACAGATGAGTTTTAGCAAAGACCTGGAATCCGTTTTTGTTTTTTTTTAATCAAACAGGACGCGTAGGACAGTGATGGAAAGGAAGAACTCAATAGACGTGCTTCGTGGAGATCAGGAATAGCACAGCCAAAGGATTAAAGAACTAGAAGACAGGGCAGCAGAAGATCCAGACTGATACGTGGGATTAAGGAGTCTGCCAGGTTTCTGCCCCGGAGCACAGGATGGGGCCACCTCAGAGATGTGGAATTCAGGAGAAGAGCAGGTCTGGGGAGAAGGTGGAGAGTCCTGTTTGAGGCGAGAAGAGATTCGGATGTTTGAGGGATAGCCTGGGGCCTCCAGGAGGCAGTTGGGTGTGTAGCTGTGGAGCTCAGCGGAGCAGTCTTGCCTGGAGAGAAATTTATGAGTCCTCAGCAGGTAGGCAGAGAAGAAGCCAGGCCACTGGTTAAGGTCCTCACGGGAGAGAGTACACACTGGGAGAGATGTTTTAAAGGGCCTGAGACAGAACCCCGAGGATCACCCATGGGTGGGATGTGACAGCTACTTTGGCAGTGACGGCAATCTGTGTTTTCATTTTCATGGGATTTCTTGTGAGAAGACTTGGATTCTTGTTGGTCTCTTAGTTATTTTTCTTAAAGGGTGGCCTTTGATGCAATTGATTTGCCTAATTGCAGCTGCTGGCTCTTGGGTTGCGAGCCTTGGCCGAGATGCCCTCTCCTTCCTCTAAGACTTGGCCCAAACTCAGCTTGGATATCTGGGGTCAGGAAGGGGCGGGCATGCCAAGCCAGGGGACGGTGTGAGCCAAGGCCTGGGCAGAGAAATGACTGGAGCATCCAGGAAAAAGGAACTCCTTCACTCGGCCAGACTGGAAAGGTCCATGGGAGAAGCGAAGTTATCCCAGGTCAGTCAAGAGCAGCTTTGATCCCTGAAACACTTGAGTCGTGAATTAATTATCTGTGGCTGCATTACCCCAAAACTTAAAACAAAAATAAACGTGCATTCTTTCACAAAAGTTTCTGAAGGTCAAGGATCCCGAATGGCTCAGCCAGAGGGCCCTGCATCTTTCATGTGGTTTGTAGTCCAGAGGCAGCTGGGCTACAGTCACCTGAAGGCTCCCCGACGAGCTTTGCCTGCACGGATGACCCGCTCGCTTGGCATTGGCCAAGGCCTCAGTTCCTGCCACTCAGACCTTGCTGCGGGGCTGCCTGAGTGCCCTCCCCACAGCGGCTTCCCCCAGAGCAAGTGGTCCGAGAGAGAGCTGGGGAAAAGTTGCAATGTCTTTTATAATCTAGCACAGAAATCTCATGCCGTCATTGCCATAGTGTCCTTCTGGTTACACTGGTCAGCCCTATTCTTTATGGGAAAGTACTATGCAAGGGCATGACTATCAGGAAGCAGTTGTCTATCAGATCACATGGCTATCAGATCACTGGGGGCTCTCTCAGAGACTGGCTACCACGGGGAACCATAGAAGGGTCTTAAGTAATTATTCATTCATTCATTCAATGAATATTTACTCAGTATCTTCTCTGGCCCAGGCCTTCTGCTGGGTGGTGTTGGGACACAGTAGTGACCGGATAGCCTGAGTTGGGCCCGGTCATAGGACCAGAAAGAAGGGAATGGGTTCTAGAAAGATTCAGAATGACCGGGGCTTAATGATTGTTTGAAGAGTGAAACAGGAGCAATGGATGCTGAGGTGAGTCTTCGAGGGAGCTGGGTCTCCGGGACTCTCCCCGGGACTCACCGCCCTGCCCCTCCCCAATCAGGCCAGCCTCCCACCTTTCCCCGGAGCCGGTACCTCGAATGTGTTTCCTGTGCCTCTTCGGACCTGAGCTGTGAGAGAGGCTGGGACAAGAGCCTCCAGTGCCGCTACCCTAGAGAACAGTGCCTGGACGTGGTGACGCACCGGGGTGAGGAAGGTGAGCTCTAACCTGCCAGCAACTCCTCCCTGCTTGGCCACGCCCCTCCCCCCAGGCTGCACTTAAATCCCCCACAACAGAGCCTTAGGCAAAGTACAAGGGGAGTTCTTTCACGTACAGAGAGTCCAGCGATAGGAAGTTTAGGGCCACAAGGACAGTTCCACAGTCACCAGGAACCCAGACGCTTTCCCATTTCTTTTTCTTTTTAAGAGACTCATTATCTGCTTTTATTATTTTGTTTTATTAAACTTTTTTTTATCCTCACACGCTGATGCTAGAGAGAGACATTGGTTAGTTGCTTTCTCACACACGCCCTGACCAGGGGTCGAACCCGCAACCATTTGGTCTACTTGTCGGTGCTCTAACCAACGGAGACACACCGGCCAGGGCTGCTTTCTCATTTCTACATATTGCTTCCATTCTCAAGATTGCCTCATAGTCCAAAATAGCTGTCAGAGTTCCAGACCCCACGTCCAAGTTCAAGGAAGAAGGAAGGTGAAAAGAAGGGGCAAAAAGGGGACACCTGTCCTTTTGTAATGGTTCTTCTAGAAGTCCCTTAAGCCTTTCTGCTTAATGCCTTGGCTGGTGTGGCTCAGTGGACTGAGTGCTGGCCTTCAACCCAAAGGGTCACCTGTTCGATTCCCAGTCAGGGCACATGCCTGGGTTGCAGGTCAGGTTCCCAGTAGGGAGCGCTTAAAAGACAGCCACACATGGATGTTTCTGTCCCTCTCTTTCCCACTCCCTTCCTCTAGCTAAAAATAAATAAATTAAAATCTTTTTTTTTTTTTAAAGAAAACCTTTCTACTTATATCACATTGGCATCACATTGTCTAGAACTTAGCCACGTGACTTTTGGCTAGATCCATGACTGCCCCAAAGAAAATGAGGTCCTGTAACAGACAGTGAAGCAGAGAATGACAGATGGCTGCCATGATGGGCAAATCCAGTCTCAGCCCTTCGTCAACAATCTGACCTCTCTCTTTTGTCCCCCACAGAGAGTTCAAGGGATGAGCGCCACTCCCGTGGCTGTGGCAACCTTCCCGGCTGCCCAGGCCCTACAGGCTTCCACAACAACCACACCTTCCACTTTCTGCGGTGCTGCAACACCACCAAATGCAATGGGGGCCCAGGTAAGGGGCAGGGCCCCCCTGTGTGAGGTCTGGGGTCCGGGTGGGGAGGTGCTCTCAGGGACATTGCCGCTGTCGCAGGCAAAGCCCTCCTCTCTAGGTCTCCATTTCCCCCCCTGAAAGATGGACGTAGCAAGCCCTTCCTCCAAGAAGGATTTTGTGAGAATTCAATGAGTCTAGCAAACCTGTGCCAAGACCCACATTTGATGCTTCCTTCATGCTCCTGAATCCGTCCACTGCTCAGCACCCTGGTCTGAGCCACCTTGACCTCTTGCTTAGATGGTCGCAATAACCTCCTCTCTGGTCCCCCCTGAGGCCCTAGGGCCAACGTTCTACACAGCAGCAAGAGAGATTTTTAACGATGTAAATGAGATCAGGCCACCGTCCTTCCTCAAGCCCTGTAAGGACTTCCCCTTGTTCTTAGAATAAAATCCAGAGGCCATACTACATGCCCTATGCAATTTGTCACCTATTTGCCTGGCGGTCTTATTTAGTTTCTGCAATTGCCAAACGCCGCACTGCCTCCTGGCTTTTGCACGGGCAGATCCCTCCCCTAGAAACACGTCTCCAGGAAGAGTTCACCTGACTCTTCCATCGTTCATCAGGTCCCACCCTTAAAGACTCATCCTCAATGAAACCTTCCCTGCCCCTCCCCTTCAGCATAATCTAGATCTATCACATTACGCTGTCTCAATGACACACTGTCCCACCGGGCTTTCCACAGTGATGGAAGGGTTCCACCTCTTTACCGTGTAATTGGTCGCCCCCACAAGTGGCTATGGAGCACTTGACGTGTGAAGGGAATATTGAATTTTATTTATTATTAATTAATGTCAATGTAGATACAACCACGTGTGGCTAGTGGCTACCATATGGGACAGTGTCGCTCTAAATTGTAAGTGCCGTGAGGGCAGGCACTATTTCATCTTACCCAGCTGCTTACCCCGTGCCTGGGCCCACAGGGACTCACGGAGGCTTGAGAGTTGGGATTTCTCCCGCTGTCCCCACAGAACCCCGCAAGGGAGTGCCATTCCAATGTCTACCACAAGGGGGCTCCGTGACGCCTCAGGCTGGGAGCTGGGAGTCAAAGTAAGGAAGGACACCCCTCCTGACACCCCCACCTTGTGCTAATTTCGTTGGTCTCTTGTCTTCTCCCAAGTCCTGGAGCTTCAGAACTTGCCACCGAATGGCCTCCAGTGTTACAGCTGTGAGGGGAACAGCACGCATGGATGCTCCTCCGAAGAGACCTCCCTCACCGCCTGCCGAGGCCCCATGAATCAATGTCTGGAAGCCACAGGCTCTGACGGTGAGGCCGTTTGGCAGGTTGGAAGGGCGTATTTAAGTGGGCGTGTGTGTGGAGGGGGGTGTCTGCAAGGGGTCAACTTCCAGTTTAGCTGGACTTCATTGAGGTGGGTATTCCTATAAGACTTCCTTCAGCTGGGTGCAAATTCTAGTAAGGAATTAGGACTTGTCCATTAGGGAATGGATCTTGCAGCCATAGAAACATGGAATTCTTTGGGGGTGGGACTTCCCGTGGACATTCCAGGCTTCCGTCCTGGCACGTCCTGGAAAGGCCTCTGTTCCAGTAGTTCTCAGACTTTTTGATATCAAGATTCCTTCACACTCTCAAAAATAATTGTTTATGTCAGCTATAGCTACAGGTATGTACTGCATTAGAAAGTAAAACACACTTTTATAAGATGTATTTATTAATGTATTTTGAAATAACAGTGATCGCTTCTTGGCCTTTTGGCTAAGATCAAGTATAGTATCCGGACTTATCAGTTTAATATGTGATAGGTTCTCTATTGGAGGACAATATATTAAATGGATTTTTGGAATTAGGAGCTGGGAGAGGAGCTTGCTTCACCCACTCCACGCATTGACCTGGTATTGGAGTACTTCCAGGAACGGTGCACCCCAAAAATAAATAAATAAAATAACAATAAAAATTCATCCCATGTGAACAGATTTTTATTAAAAAAAACACTATATTTTCCAAAATGAAAAAAATTAATGAGAAGTGTGGCATTGTTCTATAGTTCTACAAACAAGCCTCCCCTGTCTGGCTTTAGTAGGAAACAGCTGGATCTTCATATCCACTTCAGCACACAATCTGCAGCAAGACCACGTGTCCTGGGGGTTTGGAAAACCCCACTGTACACTCAGGACAGCACAAAACGCCAAATGATGTTTTGGCATCATCGTGAGAATCATGATGGGGGGGTTCCCCCCATCAAGGGGGGACCTCCCAGATCCCCTGCACCACACTTAGAACTTCCGCTTTTTCCACCACAAGGTGGCTGGTCGCCCAGTGAGAAGCTCAGGCCCGAGAGCTGGGAGCTCACAGAGTCTTCTCTCTCCTCAGGGCTGGGGAACCCGCACTACACAGTCAGAGGCTGTGCAACGCCCTCGTGGTGCCAGAACCTCCATGTGGCTGAAGCCTACGGACTGACCCAGCTCAACGTCACGTGCTGTACTGGAAACGGCTGTAATCACCCAAATCGGGACAGGCAGCCCCGCGTGGGGGGCGCCCCCCGGCCTGGCCCTGCCCACTTCAGCCTTGCCCTCACCCTCCTGATGACCGCGAGACTATGGGGAGGCACCCTCCTCTGGACCTGACCCCACACCCTCCCTGCCCTGGCTGGATCCAGGGGGCCCCTTTGCCTTTCTCTCAGACCCCGGTCCTGCGGATTTGCTGCGTGACTTCAGGCCAGTGTGCTCTTTCCTCTGGGCCTCAGTTTTCCCAGCTGTGAAACCACCCGTCTCACAGAATTAGGAGAACCAGAGGAGAAAAGCCAGACAAAGGCTGCGGGCCAGCAGAAGAGTTCTTCTTATTACTAATATTGCCACTGCTATTGTTGTTATTATTAATTAATATTTGTTTTATTTAATATTTTATACTTATATAAAGTTCATTTTTATATCAATGAGCAGGGCCAGATCTGCCCTTGTTCATAGTGTCTGTCTTTCGAAGGATGCATGGGGGGAGCACCTGTTCTCAGGCTCCTGGAAGTGGGGGTCATATGGTAGGACCCAGGAGTTGGAGTCCCCCACCTGGGAGCCGTCCTGTGTGGGCTTCCACCCTAGGTCACCCCCACATCCATTTCTGAGCTCCAAATGCAGTCTTCTGACTCACCTACCTAAGCACTACTAGCCTTCCAGCATCTTCTCCCAAACTCCAAAGGTCGAGGCCACTTGGTCGTTCTCTGGAGACATGCCCACATTTCCTGCAGACTCTGAGACAGGAGATGTAAGGAGATGACCTGCCTGCCCCAACTCCCTTGATGCACTGCAGTGAGGAGCAAAGACAGGACTACATTTCCCCTGATGCTCTGGGGCCAGGAGCTAAAGGCGGGGCTCTACTTCCTAGGATACCCTCAGACTGACCGACAAAACCACAGAACTATTATTTCAGTGGCTCTCTTGGAGCACAATAGTGAAGGGGTCACGTTTTCCAGGGTTCGCTGAAGCAAACCCATAGGGACAAAACGACATGGGGCCCTGTGGCAAATGAAGAAGAAGAAAAGTCGACCTCCATGGTATTTGGGGCTAGGTGAAGGGCAGGATTTCTTTTGAGGAGCTCAAAACACAGGTCACCACCTGTCACTGTGGTGGCTAAAAGCGACGGGTGTGTCTCTACCTCCGGAACGTGAGTGGCTTGGTGACTGCTTTGACCAATAAAGGAATGTGGTGGCAGTTACGACACGCCCTGTTCTGGGCCCAGGCTGTCAGGGACTGTCTGGTTCTGGGGAAGCCAGCTGCCACGTGGAAGTCCTCCTGCACCGAGACTGCCATGCTGTGAGGACACCCAAGCTGCTCCTGCACGGATGCCATATGGAGAGAGAGCCGCACACGTCCCAGCATCTCAGCCCAGGCACCAGACAAGTGGGCGAAGGCGCTGCCTTGGACACGGTAACCCCAGCAGATGTCCATGTGCAGGGGAAGCAGGAAACCCAGCTGCTTTCATTTCCTAGGGCTCCTAGAATAAATTACTACGAACTGGGAAACTGGGTGGCTTCAAACGACACAGATGCACTCTCTCAGAGTTCTGGGTGCTGGAGGCCCCAAATCGAGGTTCTGGCTGAGCCATGCTCCTTCTGAAGAAAGAAGTCTCTTCCTAGCTTCTGAGGGCTGCTGACAATCCTCGGCTTTCCTTGGTTTACAGCTACAACGCTCCACTCTCTGCCTCTATCCTCACAGGGCCTTCTTCTCTGTGGGTGTGGCCGTGGGTCTCCAAATCTCTCTCTCCTTGTAAGGTCACCAGGCAGGGAATTGAGGTCCCAGCCTAATCCAGTATGACCTCATCCTAACCATTTTCAAATAAGATCACATTCATAGACCCTGAGGGTGAGGATTTCAACCTATATTTTGAGGGGACACAATTCAACCCACAAACCCGTTAACAGCCAGAACCAAGGTTTTAGGTATTTGGCCCCCCCGTAAGCCACCTGCCACCTCCGGCTGTCCCCGACTGCCCACTTTGGCCCCAGTGCATTGCGGAGCTGATGCCCGCTGATCCTGCTGTGCCTCGCTGGAATTCCTGATCCACAGAATCACCAAGTAAAAAGGTTGTGGTTCTACACCCCTGGGTTTGGGCTTATTTTGTGATGCTACGATGGTTAACTGGAACAGTCATTTGTTTGTTTGCTAACTCGTTTGTTTTCATGTTATAATCACCATGAATAGCAAGGCCTTTTTATTTGCTCACTACTGCCTTCCCAGGACCCAGAATAGTGCCTGGGACATGGGAGGTGATGAAGAAAAGAAGGAAGGAACAAAGGATTGAAAGACTACATCTCCTGTGGTATCTTACAACAAAAACTAGGCTAGGATCTATCTCCCATGATGCCCTACAGCAGAGATGAGGCCAAGATGACATTCTCTGAGATGCTCCATAATGAAAATTGAGAATAGCATCACCTTCACCATGATTCCCTATGACAGAAATTGGAGGCTAGAATTGCATCCACCATGGTGCCCTACCAGAGATTGGACGCTAGCACCACATTTCCCATGATGCCTTTTAGCAGGAATTGAGGCAAGGACTGCATTTCCCATGAGACCCAACGGCAGGACTGAAGGCTCGGATTACACCTCCTGTGATGCCCTACAGCAGATGTTGAGGCTAGGGATAAATTTCTCATAATGTTCCAAACCACGGCTTGTAATCAGGACTTCATTGTTAATGGCTCCCAAGATTTTGTTCATGGATCTCGGCTGCAAGAAGCAAAATCTATTTAAGCTGACTTAAGCAAAAATGACAACGTTATTAGAAGTTGAGAATCCAGGCAAGAGCTAGGTCTCTGGGCCTCACCAGGGACAGGAAATGTAACTGAAAATCTTCCTGTGAAATTGAGGTTGCCTCCCTTTTGCAAAATTTGTCTGCCTCTCTTTCTCAAAAGTGTAGTTTCCCTCATGGACTTTCACTTTTTAAAAAATATATATTTATTTATTTTTAGAGAGATGGGAAGGGAAGAAGAAAGAGAGAGAAACATCAGTATGTGGGTGCCTCTCATGTGCCCCCTACTGGGGACCTGGCCTGCAACCCACGCATGTGCTCTGACTGGGAATCAAACTGGCGACCCTTTGGTTCACAGGCCTGCACTTAATCCACTGAGCTACACCAGCCAGGACATTTCACTTTATTTTTCCATCTTTCCACAAACTACCTTCTTTTGCTTCATACATAGTAGCCAAAGATGCCCTTGAAATGTCAAGTACCAAGAACTACTGGATGCTGGGTCTAAACTTTCAGCAGACAGACTTTGATAGGATCCAGTTTGGGTCAGGGCCCTGGATCTATGGGTCTATGACCCCCTCTGCTACAATGGTCAGGGAAGTTCACATCAAAGCCACTACGTACAGTTGTTCAGGTTGTAAACAGGCACGCACAGTCCCTGCAGTTCTCACGGTAGGTAGCCCACTCGCCAAGAGCTGGGAAAACAACCTCTGTGACAGACAGCCTATCACAAGGATGGGGGAGCAACTGCAAAAGAAAACTCTGTCTTAGAGTGTTTTCCTCTGCAAGCAGAGCTGCCTCCATCAATTCTGTGTGAGTCACAGGCAAGATGGTGGCCAGAGCTGTGTATGCGACAGGACACACAGCTCAAAATGATCCAAACAAAAAGGAAACTGATGATCTCAGAGAACAAGAGTTCATGAGTTAGGGCAGTTCCTGGGTTTGTTAGTTCAACATTTCCACTCTCTCCTAAAGGATCCACTCAGGATTGCCCACCTCCTGGCCTCAATGTGGCTGCCGCAGTTCCAGACATCACACCCACATTCGCAGACAACAACAAAGGGCCATCTCTACTTGGGCCACTTTTTTTTTTTAATTTCATTTTTTTTATTGATTATGCTGTTACAGTTGTTCTATTCCCCCCTTTATTCCCCTCCACCCTACCCCCCCTCTTCACCATTACCCCCCCTTTAGTTTATGACCATGTGTCTCAAGTCCTTTAGATTCTATATTTCCCATGCTATTCTTGCCCCCCCTTCTATTTTCTATCTACTGTCTATGCTACTTATTTTCTGAACCTTCTCCCCCCTTCTCCTCCTCCCACTCCCCTGTTGCTAACCCTCCTTGAGATCTTCATTTCTATGTTTCCACTCCTGATCTAACTGTCCTTTTAGTTTGCTTTCGTTTTAGGTGTGGTTGTTAATAACTGTGAGTTTGTTGTCCTTTCACTGTTCATGTTTCTTTAACTTCTTTTTCTTAGATAAGTCCCTTTAACATTTCATATAATAAGGGCTTGGTGATGATGAACTCCTTGAATTTGATCTTATCTGAGAAGCACTTTATCTGTCCTTCCATTCTAAATGAAAGTTTTGCTGGATAGAGCAATCTTGGTTGTAGGTCTTTGGATTTCATGACTTGGAATACCTCTTTCCAGCCCCTTCTTGCCTGTAAGGTCTCTTTTGAGAAATCCGCTGACAGTCTGATGGGAACTCCTTTGTAGGTGACTGTCCCCTTAGCTCTTGCTGCTTCTAGGATTCTCTCCTTCATTTTAATTTTGGCTAATGTAATTATGATATGCCTTGGTGTGTTCCTTCTTGGGTCCAACTTCTTTGGGACTCTCTGAGCTTCCTGGATTTCCTGGAAGTCTATTTCCTTTGCCAGATTGGGGAAATTCTCCTTTATTATTTGTTCAAATAAGTTTTCCGCTGGTGGCTGTGCCTTTCCCCCTTCTGGTACCCCTATAATTCGGATGTTGGAGCGTTTAAAGATGTCCTGGAGGTTCCTAACACTCTCCTCATTTCTTTGAATTCTTGCTTCTTGACTCTTTTCTGTTTGGCCATTATTTGCTTTCTTCTGGTCCACTCCATTGATTTGAGTCCCAGTTTCCTTTTCATTGCTATTGGTGTCCTGTGCAATTCCATTCATTTCAATTAGTTTTGCCTTCATATATTTGTCTAATTTGTGGCTATAATCAACCAGTTCTGTGAGGATCCTGATCACCAGTGTTTTAAACTGTGCGTCTGAGAGTTTTGCTATTTCTTCCTCGCTTAGATCTATAGGCTCTGGGGCTTTGAGATCTTCTTGCCATTTTTTTTGTCTGTTCGTGCCCTTTAAGTGTGAGAAGCGGTGCCTTGGATTCCCAGGTCGCTGGGTTGTGATGCTGTATGTGGGGGCGTGGTCAGAGCGGGGAAATGGCGACCCCCTCTGCTGTTTCTGGCTGCTGGGTGAGGAGCAGCGGCTTAGGTGGTTCACCTGGGCCGGGCCACTCAGAGTCTCTGGGTTATGACGCTGTATGTGGAGGTTGGGTCAGGGCAGGGAAATGGCGGCGCCCTCCACTGCCACTTGCCGCGGGGACCCACTGGGCCCGGTCCAACCGCCCACTCCTTCGCCTGTCCACCTGCGCACAAATGCGCGACCACAGTCAACACGCAGCACCGCTCCCCCGCGGTCGCTCGCCTGGTCGCTTGCTCGGTCGCTCATTAGGTCCAACCCTGCGCCTGGATTCCTCGCGCCTGAGTCCGTCTGACCGAGTTTCCTGTGCAGCCCCGCTTCACCAGCTGCTGGTTTCACCCCTTACTGGTCAGGCTGAAGAATTTGTTGTTAACGGATTTCCAAAAAGTTCAATTTTCCGTGTTCTGGCTATGTTTTCTGTTGCTAATATTTAGTTGTCTCTAAACTTGGTTGTGTGAGAAGGCACGGCACATCCACCTATGCCTCCATCTTGGCGGAAGTCCAGCTTGGGCCACTTTTTTAAAACAAAGAAATATTATCCAAAAATGTACAGCCCAACTTCCCCTCATATTTTGTTTGCCTGGCTTGTTACGTACCCACCTCTACAGCCACCACTGGAAGGAGGCAAGGAAACACAGTCTCTGCAAACTACATTCGGACCCCACTCCAAGGCTTCCCTCATCATCTGACTATTAAAGAAAAGTGGGTGCATGACCCAAATTAGGATTTTTTTAAGGAAGAACATAGGGGGAAGAATGTGTATTAGGGGGCAAAAAACACCCAGTCTTCCTCCTCTATAGGATACAACCCAGTTCTTCCCTTCTGTGTCTTTCTACTGTGTTTGTGTTGGGGGGGGTGTCTCCACACTAACAAATTCCCTATGACACCAGCTGGACGTTCCACAGTTGAACCCAATTCTGACACTATCAACCTGGTGATGACAGGAGACCCCACAGGTTAGGGGCCCAGTCCCACAAAACCACTCCCCACCTCAGACGGCCAGGGCAAGACCGGGTTGTCCCCTGCCCTCCTGACCAATAGGCGGTAAACTAGAAGTTCCCATGACATTCAGGGTTGATTAACCGGCTAGCGTGGCTCACAGAACTCAGAAAACAGTTCCATTTACTGGTTTATTAGAAAAGGATAGAGATGAGCATTGGATGGAAGGGTGGAGCGTGTGGGGAGGGGTGCAGAGCTTCCATTCCTTCTCTGGGCACGTCACTCTCTCTGGTACCTGCATGTGTTCACCGACCCAGGGGCCCTTGGAACAGCGCACTTGTGGGATTTTTATAGAGGCGTGATAGGTCGCTAACTCCATCCTTCAGCTCTTCTTCCTTCTCAAGAGGACGGGGTGGGGGGACAAAGCTGAAAATTCCAGGCTTCTAATCCAGGCTTGCTCTTCTAATCCAGGCCAGCTCTCATCCGGAAGCCCAGAGTCACCTGGTTAAAACAAAAGACACTCTTATCTCCCAAGAAATTATAAGGCTCTCGGGAGCTCTGTGCCAGGAACCACGGCAAAGGCCAAGTATGTACGTATGTATGTATGTATGTATGTATGTATTTATAAAATCCTCACCCAGGGACATGTGTCCATGGACTTTTAGAAGGAGGGGGAGGAGAGAGAGAGAAACATGGATTGTTTACCTTACCTGGGGATCAAAGCTGCAACTTTAGAAAACTGTACTTGAACAACAATTAAAAGTTAAATAAATAAATAAATAAATATTTATTGAATTATTTATTTATTTATTTATTTATTTAAAAAAACAAACCCCTGCAACCTAGGTAGGTATGTGCCCTGACCAGGAATCCAATCAGCAATCTTCTGGTTCAACAAAGCCACATGGCCAGGGCCAAATATGTATCTCTACTCTCTCACAGAATGGCACTGAATAAACGGCTAAGAAAGTCGGCACCATCCCAAGGCTTCAAAAACTCAGGAACAGTCGACTCAAAAGGCGCAGGCCACCCCCTCCCCCCCACCCCCCACCCCCACAGCAGGCACAGCAGCTGTCTCCCCAAGGTCATTTCTGTTTGAGAAAGCTGATAGCTGATTTCACCTCTGGCCTGGGGGTAGGGGGAGTCTTTGGCTGATGTCTGACTTACTCAGCATAATCTCATCTCCCGGCCAGTGATATTGGTTCACTGATGGGCAGGGAGCATCATCTGGTCCAACGAGATACAACAAAAGGTTTTTCTAGGGCCTCCTGAGGGAAAATACTTCCCCTCTCTCCTGAGGGGGCTTCTCTCTCCTTTTCTCTCTCCCCACCCCAGGCTCTTTCTCTCTCGGCCCTTCCCAAATGTGAAGAAAAAGTGTGGCCCTGGGGGGAATTTGCCAGCCATCCTGCAACGTGAGGAAAGACATTTATCTTAAGGACAAAGATGGACAGGCCATGCTTAAGCTGGCCATGTCCGAGGCTATTTTTATACAACTCTCTTTCCTTTAAGCCAGTTGGGTTGGGTTTGCTGTCACCTGTGTGAAAACCCTAATGGATAAAGTATCTTGGAGTAAGACGGGGACAGGACCACCACTCTCATGATGTCCTGAGGTGGAAGAAGTGGTGGGATCCAAAGAAGAGAGATGGGACCCAGAACAACATCCCTCAGGGCGCCCTGCAGCTGGAGCAAGAGCCATTGGTTAGAGTCATGGGCCAGGAGACCTATGGGTTCTTGGGAACAAAGACAGCCATTAGCTACCCCCCTAACCAAATCCAGGCTAGACACCTCCTTCCCACCTATCCTAGTACACAGAGATGGAAGGATTAGAAATGATCCAATCTGAGCACCTCTTTCCCCACTTTCCAGAAGGGTAAACGGAGAATGAAAAAGGAATCACTCAGAGTTGTGGTCCTGGGGATACAGAGGTTAATGGGAGATTTGGTCCAAAGGACAGAGAGGCTGCTGGGAGCTGGATGCTGAGGACAGAAAGGGTGTCTGGCGCTGAAGTCCCTTGGTGGGCCTTGGATATACACTATTTTGGTAGTGATGGAGATAACAAGCAAAGATTTTCATAGTTGGCATATCTCAATTCACCTAATTGTCAAAGGTCATGGAAGAGGTTGAGGTTCCCCACCTCGTGTGGCTTCTCACTGGTCTTGGGTCCTACGGTTGACAGTCCTGCACCAGGTCTAACAAGGTCCCGCCGAAGTGGGCTCAGGGAGACCCACTCCCCACAGGGAGAAGAGACTTGAGTCTGCAGCGGTGAGTCAGCACCAAAGACGGGAGAGGAGTGGGAGGGGCACACAGAAAGACGGGGACACCTTACAGAGAGTCTGGGGCAGGAAGAGTAGGGAAGCGGGCGGGGTAGCTGGACGCTGGGGCCTGGGAGTATCCGCAGGAGCCTCTCCCTGGCTGAGGCTCCGGCTTCCTTCCAGCCGGTTCACTCTCAGGGGGCCCCTCCCGGTAGTGATGCGGAAACGCGGGGTTTTGGGGTCAGGACCCAAGCCGAGCCCCGCCCCGCCCCGCCCAGGGAGGTCCTGGACCTGCCCAGACGCGAGGCTGACTTCCCCGTCAGGGTGGCTCCGCTCCCAGCCCGTTTGTGGCCTCTTCACCTTCACTCACCTGTGCACACAACTCTTCACACTCACCTCTCCCACGAAACACACCCCGTCCCTCCATGCGCACCCCCGTCTCCCCTTTACACACCCGCTCGCACACCCTAACCCTCCCGCAGTGACCTGCCCTCACCCCTCACCCCCCACGACACCCGTCCCTTCGCACGGCCCTCCGACGACACCCCACACCCTCCCCTTTCACACGCGCTCTCACCCTCACGCACCAACACTTTCACACTCTGTTCGTACCCTCGCACGCACCTACACACTCTGACTTCTTGGCTCAACACCCACCACCCCGGCCCGCACCCAGCGCCGCACACTCTCCCCAGCCGTGTCCCGCTCACACACTCCCCTGCGCGCCCCACCGCCTCCCCGCCCGCGTCCTCTCCCCCCCAGCGTCTTGCGGCGGGTCCCGGTCTCACCAGCTGCCCCTCCGCTCCGGCCCGGCCCCGCCCTGGCCCCGCCCCGGCGCTGGAGCCCCGCCCCCGGGCGGGCAGGGGGCGGGCAGGGGGCGGGGCGGGCGGCGCGGGAGGTGCAGGTGCCGGGCCGGGAGCAGGCGGTGGCGGCGGCGGCGGCGGCGGCACCATGGGCCGGGCCCGGCGCTTCCAGTGGCCGCTGCTGCTGCTGTGGGCGGCCGCGGCAGGGCCAGGTAGGGTCGGGGGCCGGGCCGGGGCGGGGGGCGCGCCGCGGTGACAGCCCGGCCGCGGCGGGGCTGCAGAGGCCGAACAATGCGTGCGGGGCCGGGCCGGGCCCCCTCCCCGGGACAAAGCGCAGCGCGGGCCGGGAGCCGGGAGCCGCGAGCGGGGGAGGGGGCGCGCGCCCCGGCCGCCGTGCCGCAGCTCCCCCACCCCGCACAGGCCCCGATCCCAGTGGGGACAAAGGGCCCGAGACGCCCCCCTTCTCCTCCCAGCCCGCCTTCTCCGGGCCGGTCCCGCTGTCCTTCTGCCCGCTCTCTGCGTCCCTCTGTCCGCCTGTCTCTGAGTCAGTCTCTCTCCTTGTCCCCCTACCCTTGTCCCCTGTGCCTCAGTCTCGAAGTCCTGTCCCTCCCTCTGTCTGTCCTCTCGCCCACCTCTCTATCCTGTCTTTGTCCCCCCACCTCTGTCCCTTGGTGTCTGTTCCTCTCTAATGGGTCACTCTGTCCCCCATCATCCTCTTTATCCCCTCTTCTCTGTCTCGCTGCCTTTCTGCTCTCCCTCTCTGCCCCTGTCTCGTTGTCACCCTTGTTTTGTGGTTCCTTTTTCTCTGTCCCTCATCTGTCCCATCCCCTGTTTCTCTGTCCCCTATCTTTCTGTCATTTCTCTTTCTCCAGCTCCTTCTGTCACCTATCTCTCTCATCCCCCCCCCCGCATCCCCTTCTATCTGTCCCACTGTCCCTCTGTCCCCTGTCTCTCTGCCTCCCCCCTCTACCCTTACAACCTCCATCCCGGGATCCCCATCTCCATCCTCCCTCCCTCCATCTCTCTATCACTATGTGTCCCCGAAGAGGAATTGAGTCAGGCAGGCATCCTAAAGGGCCTTGGAGAAATGTGTGTTGGGGGGCGGGGGGCAGGTAGAATTGTGTGGTGAACCTCGGCATGTGGGCACACGCGTGGATTCAGCAGATGCCTCCCCCTGCTGCCCATCCCCACCCATTCACACACCCAAGCAATGACTTACAGAGAAGCCCCCCTCCAGAACGCCCAGGGCACCATCCATATACCTTTAACACACTCTGAGAAAAGCTGGAGACTTCCAAGTCAGGGTGAACCTGAGACTGGGGACAAGGTCAGGAAATGTCACTCACACTTTCACACTGTGTGCCTCCAACCTGCCACGGGCCACCTCCTCCCCGGTGGGTAAAGCCACTCTTGGGAGGAACGGAGGATTGGGAGGTGGCTGGACGGAAGTGGGGCGGTCTGGAGGTTCCGTGGCGATTTGGAAGAGGAATGTAACCAGAGAGTACAGGGCTGGGGGCCTGGGTGTAAACCCTGACTCTTTGCCATTTGCCACAGCAACTGATGGCAGGCACCCTCCTCTCTCCAGGGCTCAGTTTCATTCTCTATAAAGTATGGATGTTGAACTCAGTGATCTGAAAGGGAAGGATCTCCAGCTTGAACCCCTGACAAGGTGAGGGGCAAAGCTGACCTTTCACCCTCTCTCCCTTGCTTCCTTCTATGGTCCTCTGCCATTGCTTCAGAACCTGCATCATTACCTCCTTTCTTTGCGACAGACAAGCCACAATTTCCCAGATGAGCGCTTTGGTACCTTAGCTACATTTCCATTGAATTTTTATTTTCCTTTCTTCGTTTTTTTTTAGGCCCTAAAAACCAGCCTCAGAATCCTAGCTCCAGCGAATCCAGTAAACAAAGAACCTGAGGGTACTTCCGAACATTGACATCTTTAGGGCTCTAGAATCCCAGAATCTTTAGAATCTTGCTGCCTTTAAAATTCCAGAGCCTTGATAGCATTAGCACTCTAGCCTCCTGAGAGCTTTAAAATTCTGAAACCTTGGCCTCTGGGAGATTCTGAGTTTTGACATCTTCGACATGTAGAATCTTGACATCTTAGAATGGTGGGGTTTCGGAGTCTCAGAATGAGAAGCTAGGCTAAGATGACCACCTACTCAGTTCCAGAATCTTTTATTCAGTACTTCTGGGGGGGGGGGGCGGTTAGAGTGCTTAAAGTCACTGCACCCTGGTACTCTAATCCCGTCTGTAACTTTCTCTAAATTGTGGGGCTTTAGAGTTGGGGGACAGCTGGTGTCCAGGGAAGCCCTCTGGGCTGGGAGCCAAGGAACCAGGCCTCTCTGGTGTAATTCTGTATCAGCCCCCATCACTCTCTCAGCCTCACCTTCCCCTCCTGCAAAGCACGGGGTCAGGGAGCTGGAGGGCACGATCTCAGAGGGTCCTATCTGCTTTCCTTTTCGTTGGCTGTTTCTGAATGGCCTTGGCCACTGGATTTCAGGGGCTGTGCATGGTCCCTACATTTCCCTCTCAGTCACCCTCCTTCCTCTCTCACCTTGGCCAGCCAGCAGGAGCAGGGATGGGAGATGGCGTCCATTTGTGTCCTTTCAAAAATGTGCTCTCTCTTTCTTGGCTCACTCATCTGCCACAAATAGCAGAAGATGATGAGATTTATGCCAAAAGAAAGAAAGGTCCAGGTGGGCAGGCGGGAGGAAATGAGAGAGAGGGAGAGAGAGAGAGAGATGGGTTGCCTGCCCAAAGATGCACACGGGCAGACAGAGAGGCCCAGGCCAGAACCTGGACCAGAAAGGCGCTGAGGAAACATATCCAAACACAAAGGAGTGAGAGAGAGACAGAGAGAGAGAGGCGGTTAGAGTTGAGGGGCTTTGTGAAGGGGGAGCTTGTTGATTCCAAATAATGTTTTCCTCCCAAGTGACTCACTTTTCCCTGCTGAAGTTCTGACCAGCCACTCTGAGAACAAGGGGGGGGGGCCTCCCCTCCAGTGCGAGTCAGCCCCGGGTACAGGTCTTGGGAGGTTTCTGTCACTGACCCCCACCCACCCAGGAGCCAGTTGTCTGAGTTCCTATAGCTGGGGTCAGATTCTGCGATGGATTCCAAGACCTTAGACATAGCGGGGCTGGGGCCTGGGTGGGTTAATGTCGTACGAGCCTGGCCTGTCCCCGTCTTGGGGAACACAAAGACAGCTTTCTCTCTCTGGGTGGGGCGGGGGGGACTTGGAGACAGTCAGACTTGCCAGCGCTCATTGGCCTGTGGCACCAGGACCCGGGCACCCACTGGTTCCTGCCTATGCAGACCCCAGGCCCCTAGGTCCTCTGGGAGCCAGGCTCCTCCACAGGCACCCAGTAGGGCAAGAGGGCGGCAGCAGAACCCAGGCCCTTCTGGGAAGGGGATGAATAGAGGGCACTGGGGGTGGAAGAGAGGACAGTGGGCACTCAGTGCAGGCTGCCCCCCCTTCCGGGAGCAGGAATGCCTCCCCTGACCCCCCACCCAGAGGGAATCTCCAGAGGAGTCTCCCACCCCCTGCCCGGGCCTAAAGCCCGGAATCCAGGGAGTTCTGAACATCCCAGGAACGTGGGGGCCACAGGGGACACTTTGTGTGTGGGGCTGCTGACTCACCCCTCTGCCTCCACCTGATGCTTGGTCTCCAGTAGGAGGGGGACGGGGCTAGGGAAAGGCAGCCCTGGGCTGCTGGGAGCCGAGGACAGCACACCTGGAGTCAAAAGTTTCCGAGAGAGGAGGGGCCCAGGGTCCTGAGCTCCTGCGGCGGAGGGAGGAGGGGCTGGGGCCTTAGACTCCTGGGTCTGAAGGGAGGAGGAAACCAGGGGTCTTGGACATATGTGTTAAAGGGAGGAGAGGCTGGGGGTCCTGGTTCTGTGTGTCAGAGGGAGGAAGGGGCTAGGGGCTTGTACTTCTGGGTCTGAAGGAGGAGGGGGCTGTGGGCCTGGACTCCTGGGTTCCGACAGAGGAGGAGGCTGGGGTTCCATAGTCCTAGGTCTTGAGGGAGGGAGGGGTTGGGAGTTTAGACTCCTGAGTCTTGAGAGAGGAAGGGGCTGGGGGTCCCATTCCAGGTTTCTGAGGAGGAGGGGGTGGGACCCTGACGCCTAGGTCCTGCGAATACAGGCGCCTTCAGAAGGCTGAGCTGAGGAAGAATTGATGCTTTGTGCAAGGATGTTCGGACTCCGCCATTGATGGGGGGCTGAGGGGGGGTTCAGTCGGGACGTAGGGATGTACCACCTCCCTAGGGGAGGAAGTAGGGGACAGACAGAGGCATGATGCTACAGAGCCTCCTGGGGAATGGATTCCGAGGGGGTGACTGTGACCTTCCTGGAACCGTGACCTTGAGACTCCCGTGGGTATTCGCTGACTCAGGACCCAGGAAGTGCTCCCCCACCCCGCTTAGTTTCCGTGGAAACATCCGCCAGCTGTGTATTCTGGACCCCTGGCTCCTGGGTCCTGAAGGAGGAGGGGGCTGAAGGCCCAGACTTTTGAGTTTGAGGAGGGAGAGGCTGGGGACTGAGGACTTTGGGATTTGAGGGAGGAAGATGCTGAGAACCAGACCTTTGGGTCCTGAAGGAAGAGGGTTCTCAGAGCCTGGACTTCTGGTTCCTGGGAGAGGAGGCAGATGGGGCTGGATTCTGGGTCTCTACATGTCACCTGCTCAGCCACTCTTTCTCACTCCCCCCCCCTCCGCCGTCCCTTTTCCAGGCACCATCCCCATGACGACTCCAGGCTGTGTCAACACAGTTTAAAGGGCCAGTGCCCTAGTCCCAAAAGCTCAACTCCTCTCTGACCAGAAAGTCCTGCCTCACCACCCCCAACCCCGAAACAAAAGCTCCGGGGACATTAATATTCCAGGCACAGACACTGTTGGTTACTGAGTCTTCAGGAGGGGGAGGGAATTAGACAAAAGCCCCCCACCCTCACCCCATGTGCACCCTCAAGCAGAGAACAGGAGATAAATTGGGGAGGGGGGCAGATCCAGAGATCCTGATGGCTCTCCGGAGATGTTGAGTTTCTGCCACTGCCTTGCCTGGGACCCCTGAGCCTCATTCTCCACATCTGTAAAATGGGGGGCTAGCATTAAGTTGACCTTGAGGTCTGGGATCCATGGACAGGCTTCAAAGTGTTTTTTTCTTTCCCAAGCACCAATCTGAGCAGGCAGGCCACTTTTCATTGCATAGGCAAGTTTCTGGAGGTTGTAATAATAGCAGCTTTGCAGGGAAAGCTCCCTGAGCTCAAGGCGCTGGCTGGGCTGACCCCTCCGGGGCGGGCCCTGGCATCATCCCTGTTTTACAGACGGGACATCCGAGACTCAGAAAGGTTAAGCCACTTGCCCAAGGTCGCACAGATGGCAAGTGGTCCAGCTGGGATCAACCCAGGTGTGTAAGATGAGAATAGTGATGTCACAAGTTGTCGTGAGGCTAAAATGAGATCCTGCCTGACACATGCCAGTCATTCATCAATTTCCTGGACATGTATCAAGTGCTGGGCACACTTCTAGGCACCGGGGGTATGGCGGTAAACCCAGTCAATGGCCTATATCCCTGCCTCATGAGGTGTATATTCTAGTGGCGGGCAAATTAATAAAGTAATTTTGGTGAAATTTCCATAGAAGAATAAAACAATGGTGATGAAATAGAAAGTGATCTGGAGGCAAAGGAATGGGCAGAGAAAGCCACTCTGCAGAGGTGTCCCTAGGAGCAGAGACCTGAATAAGAACGGCAGACAGTGCTGGGATGGTGAAGGGAAAAGAACATCCCGGGCAAAGGGAAGGGCACGTGCAAAGGCCCTGAGGTGGAAACAAGCTCAATGCGTTTGAAGGGCATCAAGACCTGGGAGGCTGCAGTGAAGTGAGGGTGATTGGAACTGCGGCCAGGGAGAGGCTCAGCTACAGAGCATCTTGAAGGCTCAGGAAGGAGTCTCCATTTTATTCTAAGTGTAATGGGCAGCTATTGAAGGGTTTTAAGCAGAGAGGTGACTTGATCCGATGTATCTTTCTGGAAAATCTGTCGCTGCTGTGTGGGGATGGAAGAAGGCAGGCATGAATGCAAGTGAACCATGAGTAGCTCTTAAAGGTCCAAGTAAGAGATGGTGTAGTTGAACTAGGGTTCTGTTAGAAGAGGTAGACAGCAGTGAATAGATTGGGGATATGTTTTGGAGGTAGAATGGATAGATCTTGCTGATGGAATAGATGTTAGAGATGAGGGAAATGGTGAGAACTTGTGTGACGTCTTGGTTTTCGGCCTGAGTAACTGGGCGGATGGTTGTGACATTCACTGAGATTGAGAAAACGTGAAGAAGAAGACATTTGGACTCGTTAAACTTGGTATTCCAGGAGGTACTAGATAAACCCCTAATAGAGGCTTAAAAACACAAAAAGTTATACTCAAACAAAAGACAAGTCCAGAAGTAGGCATCCAGGGCTTTTATAGGAGCTTTACCTCATCACCAGAGACCCAGGTATTTTCTACCTCTTGGTTCCACCATTTCTATGTCCTTGTCCTCATGGTCCAACATGGCTGCCAGAACTCCAGGAATCACGTCCTGGTTCCAAACAGCACAAAAATGACCCGGAGGACAAGGTACTTGTCTCCCCCTTTTAAGAAATGCTCCTCAAATTACCACAGGACACTTCTTCTTACATCCAATTGTACAAAACTTTCACTTGATGTCACTTAGCTGCAAAAAAGTCTGGGAAATATATCTTTCTGCTAGGCACAGGGCAACCATGAAATACAATCAGGGTTCTTTTTGCCAAGGAGAGAGGGAAGCATGGATGTTGGGTTAGGAAGCTAGCTCTCTCTGCCTTCGTCCCCTGGAAGGAATCTTTCCCACTCCTTGGCCCCCGAATGAGGTTACCTATCCTTACGGGGAACAGAACACTTTTGGTGGGATTTTACAGTGAGTTGTGTCTACCTCCCCATCAATCTTGAAAGGCCCTCTAGGACAGGGACCTCATCTGACTCATCTCTGGGCATCCAGCCCTGGAAAACCTGCCCGCTGCTGGGGAAATACTCAACTAAGTGAATGAGACAGACTGTAAGAAACATGAAGCAATAGTTATCCAACATTTAAAGGTAAACAACCAGATGTGATCATGTCTCTTTCATGCTTCAAAGCCTCCACTGGCCTTCAGGATAAAAGCTAATCTCCTAGCCTGGCATGTGCGGCCCTCCGCTGGTGCATCCCACAAACCCTCACCCATGCTGGACCTTTGCACCCAGACAGCCAGGGGTGGGTGTAGACCTGGGCTGTCGAATCAGCGAGATCTGGATGCTCAGGATGTGACCTTGGGCAAGTCATTTTCTCTCTCCAGACCAATTTTCTCATCGACAAAATGGGAATGGGAAGAAAACTGAAGATTGATAATAGTGCCTACCTTCTTCAGATACTGTGATGATTAAATGGAAATTACATAGGTGAGGCCCTTAACACAGAGCCTGGCGCAGCGAGTGCCTGATAAACAGCTGTCGTGGTTGTTATTTTCAAGATGAAAGTAACACCATGATGATGGTGATGCTGCTGCTGATTAATCTCAGCTTTGAACTTCATTCCAGGTTATTTCCTCGGCTGGAAACACCCCCTTACTAATTGCCTGCCTTGCTCCTCTGCTGGGTTAATCAGGTTGGTTAACTTCTGTAACAAACAGCCCTGAAACCTCAGTGGCTTTACAAAAAAAAAAGTGTATTTCTCACTCATGTTACAGTTTCGGGCAGACAAGTCACGGGGGCAGCCAGGCAGGGGCCCAGGCTTCCAGCGTGTGATCCTATCCTCCTCTGGGCTCCCTGGGGTCCTCTCCATTCAGCCAGTGAGAAGGATGTGAGTAGAGAAAAAAAAAAAAAAAAAGAAGACATGAGATGAGCCAGTCTAGAAGAGGTTGTTTCTCTCTTCCACCTGCATCCCCTTGGCTAGAAGTCCAGTCACACGGTTAAGTACAAAGCACTCTGGGAAATGTAGTCTAATCATGGGTTTACCAGTTAACTTTAAGACTATCTGAAACATAGTGGCTGTAAACAATCATGTTATTTGCTCGCGCCTCTGGGGTCAACAATTTGGACTGGATCAGTTGGGCAATTCTTTCCACAACTGGGGTCACTCATGTGGCTACAGTCATCTGCTGGGGTCACTGGAGCTGGGTGGTTCAGGATGGCCTCACTCACATGACCTGGGGTTCGCGCTGGCTGTTGGCTGGGCTTCTCTCCCCACGCAGCCTCTTATCCTCAAAGAAGCTAGTCCGGGCATCTTCACCTGACAGTCTTGGGGAAGCCAGAGGGCATGAGCAGAAGTTACAAGTTCTCTTGTGGTCTAGGCCCCAGAACTCATATCAATATAATATCACTTCTAGCAAGTTCTGTTGGTAAAAGCAAGTCACAAGGCTTGCACAGATTCCCAGGGTCTGAATGCTTCCTTAATGGGTGGAGCAGCAAAGTCACCTTACGTAGGGCACGCACAGGAACAGGAAGAGCATTGTGGCCATCTGTGTAGACAAGCTACAACATGTGCCCAAGTGTAAAAGATGGGGTTCAGCCCTGGCTGGTGTGGCTGAGTGGCCTGAGTGCCGGCCTGTGAACCAAAGGGGTCGCCGGTTCTATTCCCAGTCAGGGCACATGCCTGGGTTGCAGGCCAGGTCCTCGGTAGGGGGCGTGTGAGAGGTCACCACACATTGATGTTTCTCTCCCTCTTTTTCTCCCTCCTTTCCCCTCTCTCTAAAAATAAATAAAATCCCCCCAAAAAGATGGGGTTCAGTGAACACAGAGCAGTTTCCCATGCCTGGAGAACTCCTGTTTACTCAAGATCTGGACCCAATAAGGCTTTCTTCCACACCCTTCTCTAATCATCCATCTCCCTAGGTAGTCTTTTTTCTTTTTAACCTTTATTAGTATTGTTTTATGCTGAATTTACTCCTGGGCCATAAGTTTTTGTTTCTTCCTTTTCTTCTGGAATAGCTTTCTCTTGAGCAATCTGAGCCTCTTCAGCTGGGACCATGTCAGTGTGGCAGGGGGAACTCACGGGTGGGTTAACCCGCCCCTGAGCTCTGTAAGTTCAATGCTGCATCTTGGGAGCTTCGTTCGCTGGATGTGATCACTGACCAGAGTATCCACATCTACACCCTCAAGTTCAGCATTACTATCTGCATTTTTAAGCAGCAAAAACTCAGCAGTCTTTCTGGGTCCCTGACCCCTGCGCCCAGCCCCACTGTTTGTGTCCTAGACACACCTACCAATCCACCGTTGTCATGACGAAATGACGCATACATGGCTTCTGTAAAGTGACCTCCTTCAGATACTTACTTGCTGGCTTTTTGAATATGCACACCCTTAATGGCCTGGGCAGTTTCATGTTTGTTCTTAAAGTGAACGCTAAGATGTGAACCTCTTGAGTTGCATGATTCGGTGGGGTTTTCTGGGTTGAGCAAATAGTGACCCATTTTCAGAGGTCACCTCTGGCCACTTTCAGGAAGAGTCTCTGGGCAGCCTTGGCCTCCCTTGGCCTCCCTCCGGGCTCCCCCGTTAGAGCCCCTCTCCTGGGCTCTATCCTGCCTGCAGGAAAGGTTGGGTGTGATAAAGTGAGTGTGAGGGGAAGGAGGGGGGTGGAGGTTTCGATGGGAGAGGAACGGGAGAGTGAAAAGATCGAATTGCAGCCCTCGGTGAGTCTCCTATTCTGTCTCTCTGCCTATTGATCCAGGGGCAGGACAGGAAGTACAGACAGAGAATGTGACAGTGGCCGAGGGTGGGGTGGCCGAGATAACCTGCCGTCTGCACCAGTATGATGGGTCCATAGTTGTCATTCAGAACCCAGCCCGGCAGACCCTCTTCTTCAATGGCACCCGCGGTGAGTGCTGGGGTCCAAACCCCAAGTCTCGAAGGAGGAGGGAGGGCTGGGGCCTGATTCCTGTGACCCGAAAGAGGGCAGAGCGGACACTCTGGATTCCCTGGTCTGAGGGAGGGAGGGACTGGGGGCCTGGGCTCATGTAGCATGGAGCTGGGGTTTGGACGCCTCCTCCTGTGGGTGGGAGGGTCTGAATTATTCCGGGTCCCCAAGGGAGTAACTAGGTGGGCACCACAGACACATAGGCATGGCTGGACTGTAAGCTCCTGGAGGAAGGATGGAACTCCTGAGGCCAGGATTCCCCAAGTTCACGTCTGGTTCACCCTCTCTAGCCCTGAAGGACGAGCGTTTCCAGCTTGAGGAGTTCTCCCCTCGCAGAGTGAGGATCCGACTCTCAGATGCCCGCCTGGAAGACGAGGGGGGCTACTTCTGCCAGCTCTACACGGAGGACACCCACCACCAGATTGCCACGCTCACTGTGCTGGGTAACCACCCGCCTCCCCTCCAACCCATCCCCTCCTTCCCTCTCCTCTGTTTACCCTCATGCTGAGACCCGACGACCCTGGCTGTTTTCAACTTCCTAGACGTCTGGGCCCAGGCAATATGGGCGGCCTTCCTGACCTCTGGGCTCTGTGTTTGACCCTGGTTCCCTTTGATCCCTGGAATCTCGCGGCCTGGTCACTTTGAACCGACCTGGATGCTTTCCCTGACCCCCTCCCTTCTCCCTTTCTCCCCTTCTCCCTGCCGCAGTGGCCCCAGAGAATCCCGCGGTGGAAGTCCGGGAGCAGGCGGTGGAGGGCGGCGAGGTGGAGCTCAGCTGCCTGGTTCCGCGGTCTCGGCCGGCCGCCGTCCTGCGCTGGTACCGCGACCGCAAGGAGCTGAAAGGTGTTACTTAACCCGAGATGGGGTACTAGGGGTAGGCGAGGTGCCGGTGAAGAGCGGGACTTGAGAGGAGGGGTTTCCAAGAGGCGGGGCTTAGGAGAAAGGCTGATGTGTAGGCCGGGCGCACAGGTCTGGGAAGTGTCATCCACGCAGTATGCAGCTATTGAATACAATGATAGATGAGAAGGCGAGGGCGTGAAGGAGAGGAGCTTTGGGAAGAGGCACTTTGGGATTGTGGGCTTGGTTTGGGAAGGGTAGTGGTTTGGAAACTAGAGGCCGGGCCCGTGGCGCAGGGGCGGAGCTTAGCCAATAGCCCGCGTTGGAACCGGCTGGGGGAGGAGCGGGAACCCTGGACTGAAGCGGTCGGGTCCGGACGTGGCAGGTGTGAGCAGCAGCAAGGAAAATGGCAAGGTGTGGAGCGTGAAGAGCACAGTGAGGTTTCGTGTAGACCGCAAGGACGACGGCGGTATCATCATCTGCGAGGCGCAGAACCAGGCGCTGCCCTCGGGACACAGCAAGCAGACGCAGTACGTGCTGGATGTGCAGTGTAAGTGCCCGGGGGCGGTGGTGAGGGGGTCCCAACGCCAGCCGCCCGACCGCGGGAGGGTCTCTAGCCCCTCGTGATGACCCTGACAGTCACTCTGCCGTCTGACTTTTACCCATAGTCTCCCCGACGGCCCGGATCCATGCCTCCCAAGCTGTGGTGAGGGAGGGAGACACGCTGGTGCTGACGTGTGCTATAACGGGGAACCCCAGGTGAGCTCCGCGGCCCGAGACTCCTAAAAGGCAAGGGGTAGTAGGGACCCTGTTATTTGGAGATGCTGCATATCTAGATTCCTGAGAAGTCTGAATTGGGTGCTGGCACCTGTGTCCCTAACTCTCACTGTACTTTACACCCCGTCCAGGCCAAATCAGATCCGCTGGAACCGCGGGAATGAGTCTTTGCCGGAGCGGGCCGAGGCTGTCGGGGAGACGCTTACGCTGCCTGGCCTGGTATCTGCAGATAATGGCACCTACACTTGCGAGGCGTCGAACAAGCACGGCCACGCGAGGGCGCTCTATGTGCTCGTGGTTTACGGTAAGTGGAGGCTTCCTCAGGCCTGGGGGCGGGGCTCAAGGCAGGGGCGGGGTCTCCCGGGGTCCGGGCCTTGTACTGGGTGGGCGGGGCTTGTGCAAAGTGATACCAGGGAGTCAACAGCCCACAAACTTTTTAAGAGTTCTGGGGCCAGACTGACTGTGTGGGTTCAGGTTCGGCTCTGCAACATCCCATTGCGGGTGACAGCCTGTGCCTTAGTTTCCGCATCGGTAAAGTGGGAATAAATAATAGCTCCTGTCTCAGGGTTTGTGAAGATTAAACGAGCTAAATATATAAAGTGGTTGGAATGGCCCCTAGCAAAAAAATGAGTGTTCTGTGTTTAGCTCTTAAGAAGGTGCAGCAGGAGTTCTGGAAGTGGACCCGAGCTAGCATTTTAAATACCTGGAGCGTTTTAGACAACGTAAGGGAATTGGCCCTGAGGTTCCCTGGAGGGAAAAACAGAGTCAAAAGAAAAGAGATGTGCTGTTTTTGTTCTCTAGGGGCGAGGCGAGGAAAGGAGGCAGGGCGGGTATTAGCAACATGACTCAGTGGCCTGGGGGGCAGTATGTTAATCAACACATATTCCTCGAGGGAGTGGAACTTCGGGGAAAGAGGGAAGTCGGGAGAAGAGCCCACCAGGGGGCAGAATTGGAGGGGCGGGGCCCGTTAAGTGGCGCGGTTAGAGGTGGTGGACGCAATGGTTTAACAGGTTGGTAGCGATGGGGCTGAGCTGGGACCGTCCCCTGACACCGGTCCTGTGCCCTTTTCCTCTGGCAGACCCCGGTGCGGTGGTAGAGGCTCAGACGTCCGTGCCCTACGCCATCGTGGGTGGCATCCTGGCGCTACTGGTGTTTTTGATCATTTGTGTGCTGGTGGGCATGGTCTGGTGCTCAGTACGACAGAAGGGTGAGTGGGGGGACAGGGTCTGAATTCAGCGAGGGGCGTGGTTGGTTGGGAAGGGGGCGGGGCGGCCTAGAGCCTAAATTCCGGAGAGGACTGTCTAGACCCAGGATTCCAAACCCTGAGGGACCGGAAGCCAATGTTCCAAAAGAGGGGTGGGTCTTTCACCCAGGACTAAAAGGAGTTAAGGCCTTGAAGCTGAAGGCCATGGGTTTCAACTGAACGATATATCTTTCTAATTGCCAGATTCTCTGGGAACAGAGCAAGGGGCTATCACCAATAGAATGGATAAGGGTTGATCTTTCCGTGAACTTTTGGCGTCTTCCTAATTCTGCTTTACCTCCTTCTCTGCCCACTTTGCTACTCCGTGTTCCGTTTCTCTCTCTTCAATTCGTCTGATATCTCCTGTCTGTCTCCTCTGACCGGGGTTCTGTCACTTCTCAGGCTCCTATTTGACCCATGAGGCCAGTGGTTTGGATGAGCAGGGAGAAGCAAGAGAAGCCTTCCTCAATGGCAGCGATGGACACAAGAGGAAAGAAGAATTCTTCATCTGACCCCTCCTCTACCCCAGGCCTGAGCCTGGGCTGGGGTCCACCCCACTGCCAGCTGCAAAGACATTTACCAGAGTCTGGGATGGTGGGCATCTCCTCCCACCACTAACACCTCAGACGTTTGGGCAGGGATGGGGGTATCAGATGCCTGGGTCTCTACCAGGGCCACAAGCAAGGTCCCAGAGATCTGGGTCCCCCAGGGGAGAGGGCCAGAGGTCCAGACCCCCAAAGTCCAGGGAGGGTGGTAGGGATTGGGTTGGGGGAAGATAAGTGGGGGAAAGCCAGGGCCCCTAGGCTGCAGAACCAGGTCTTGTGGGGAGGGGATCAGATTCCGGGAAGGGTGGGGTGGGCAGGGAGGGGGACACACGGATTTCTTTGGGGGTCCCAGACCCCATGCCAGCCATTGTAGGAGTTCCACAGAGCTCTGGGCACCTCTTTGCAAAGCCATGTTTGCACGGTGGGCGTAAGGGTGGGGGGAGGGTATGGAAACAGGGATTCCGTGTCTTTGTGTCATAACTTTGATGGAGGAGGTGAGAGAGACAGCCCCAGCCCTTTTCTCCAGCCCCCCTTCCTGGGCTCCCCTTCCTTCCACCTCCTCCCCCAAAATCTGTCCCACTTATATTTGTCTCCCTGTCTACCCACTCCTGGGGGTGCCTTCCCCATCTCTCCTCCAGGCCCCCCAGGAAGGGGAAAAGGAGTTTAAGGGGATGTGTTGGTCTCTATGGTTTTATATATAATATATTAAAAAAATCAAAAATCTGTATGAAAATATCAGATTATGCCCCCTCCCCCATTTCTGGCTTTTGCCCCCCTTTTTCTTGTTCAAAAAAACAAACAAACCACACACAATATTTTGTACTAGGCGGGGAGGGGAATGGGGAGGGGGTTTGGCGATCCCACTAACCACCATTAAACTGAGGAGAGAACACATTCGGGGTGGCTGTGTGTCTGTCCCTCTGCCCAGAGCTGCACCATGTTGGGAGGGGAACTGAGCTAAGGGAAGGGGACTCGCTGGTGAACCAAATAGGCCAAGAGAAGGTCTTTACCTCACCAATGGCACCTTGACCCTCCTAGAGAGGGAAACGTGGTTTGGTTTGTTTTTTTCCTAGACACTCCTTCAGCCAAATAGTCACAGAGTCTTCTCTCTTCAGTTCGCTCCTGAACTATCTTATCCCCACGGTCATGGCCTGGACCCTTCCCCTGCCTTACCCTCACCCAAGACACCAGTCTCCAGGGCAGCTTGCTTTCTTCTTTAAAAAAGATTTTATTTAGCCCAGGCTGGTGTGGCGCAACGGATCGAGTGCCAGCCTGCAAACCAAAATTTCACTGGTTTGACTCCCAATCAGGGCACGTGCCTGGGTTTCAGGCCAGGTCCCCAGTTAGGGGCGTGGGAGAGGTAACTAACCAACATCTCTCACACCAATGTATCTCCCTCTGTCTCCCTCCCTTCTCTTCTTTCTAATAAATAAACATCTTAAAAAATTTTTTTTTAGAAAGAGGAGCAGGGAAGGACACAGGGAGAGAAACATCACTCGGTTGCCTGTTGCACGCAAACAAGGACCTGGCAACCCAGGCAGGTGCTCTGGCTGGGAATCAAACTGGTGATTCACAGGCTGGCGCTCAATCCCCTGAGCCACAGTAGCCAGGCATTAGGGCAGTTTTCAATTAGTCACATCTCATCTCACCCTTATCCTGCCTTTTTCAAAACCTTATCCTATCTCCCCATCACCTCTAGATCACGTGGAAGCTCCTTATCCTGGTATTCCAGGCCCTTCATTCCATTTCTCTAGATTTCAAATGAGTGATTCTAATTTTAGATTAAAAAGTATATTGCCCTCTTTGTGCCAGGTGCTGCTCAAAGGTCTAAGAGGTGCTATGGTGAATAATCAGAAATATTAGGTGTTCCAGACAGCTTAGCACTATCTGAAATGTGATCACCAAAGTGAAAAAGAATGACTCCATGTTTACCCTCGTGAAGCTTTCACGAGGAAAAAAAGAACTTAATTTCAGGTTGCCATTAAGAAGAAATGCAAAGGAAGCAGGTGTGGAGTACTATTTTATTTTAACTTATGGAAAACTTCAGAGAAGTAGGCAGAACAGGACAATGAAGCCCATGCAGACTCCACCCAAGCCTCAGAAACCATCAACTCACTGCCAATCCTGCTTTATCCACAACCCCATTCACTTCTCTAAAACAAATTTGGAGGTGTTACTTTAGGAGAAACAAAAACCAAAAAACAAACAGGGAAAGCTCAGATTGACATCTGCGAAGATATGGTTAGTATAAGAGCGGCAGCTGTTTGAAGATCAGAGGAAAAAGCACTTTTCAGGCAAAGGGAACGGCTATGGGCAAAAACCTGAGATGACAGAGACTGGAGTGTTTGATGGGAAGTGGAGCTAGTCAGGAATGCGTAAAGGGAGAGACAAGTGAGGTCAGATAAATAGGACAAGGGCATGTGCATGGCCCCGGGACCACGGAAAGAGTTTGGAATTTTTCTAAGTGTAATGGGATCCCATTGGAGAGTTTTAAGCTGGAATGTAAGTTAATTGCAGGAAACCTGGCGCTCCTGTAATACCCTCAGGGTAAAGTCTGAACTCAGACGTCACCTGCTAGAGCCTTTCCCCTACCTAATTCTGGGTTTTAGTCGTACTATCTGCTTTTACTTCCTCGATCAAATCATGTACGTTTGTTTTGTTTTCTTCTTCTAGGCCTTTGCCTATAGCTGTTCCCTCTGCCAAAGTGACTCCGATTCCAATTGGCTTCTATTAATCCTTGGCTTAAAGATCATCACCTCCTGGAAGCCTTTTCGGGCTGGGGCAGGCACTTCCTCTGGCCCCGACAGTTTCCAGTGCTCCCCTCATTCCAAGTCTGAGCACTCTGGGTTGTGATTCTGATCGTGTGTGATCTTTTGGTTGCGGCGCCATGAGGCAGGGGGCCAGGTATCTTATTTACTGCGGAAACCATAGTGCCTGCTAGCAGAGGGCCTGCCACATAAAAGAGCAGTAAAGATATATCCTGGTTCTGGGTGGAGAATTGGTAAGGGCTGTGAGGGTTGCTAAGGGTCAGGCTCTCTGGAAGCAAACTGATCCCTACTGAAAACAGGGTTACCTGCTCCATGCTAGTCCGCAGTCCCAGTGCGCAAGCGCTGTGCTCAGGAGCTGGCCCCCGCCACTCATATGCTAACCACTGCATACTAGGGTACTGCCTCTCCTGGGAATATGCAAATCAGCCCCTTTGGTGCCCAAGGCCTCCCATTGTCCCCTGTTAAGATTATGCAAATAAGCAGGCCTCAGGTCTAGGATCGCGACGGAGCTGGCGTTCCCCACCCCCCAACGCATCCCATCTTCTATAAAAGAACGCACGCGCGAGTCCTGCTGTTGCCGATTCTGTCCGGTTGCGGAATGTACCAAGTAGACTCGAACAGCGAGGGGCAAAGCCCGGAACCCCCTGCGTGGGCTCGTCCATAGCCCCTCTTCACGCTGCGCCAGGAATGGTCCTCCTCGGCGCGCAAGCGCCTTAGGTTCTTCACGCCCCTCGCGCTGCCTTGTCTCCTGCTTGCAGCGCAGGCGCCGAGCCCGGGCGTGTAGCCGCTGCCGCCGCCGAGCCGGAGGGAGCGGGGGGCCGCTCTCGCCGGTGAGTGTCCGGGATCAAGGTACGCGGGGCATGCTGGGAAGCGGGCGCTACGGCACTGCTGCATGATGGGAGTGACGGCTCTCGTCACTGGGGTGCTGGCAGCGGTCTTGTGCAGTGATGGCCAGAGGGCGAGACCTGGGCTCTCTTTTCTAACCTCACGCAGCTCTGTGCCGCTCTCGCGCATCCTGGGAAAATGGGACGGCCTGTCCTAAACGTGTGGGAGTCGGTCCGCCAGTCGTCAGGGGCCTGGGGCATTCTGAGAAGGATTATCCTAGTTCTTTGCAGGGAACCGGCCCCTTTTGTCACACACCCTCCGCTGAGCATCTTGGAAACTTGGAGTGATTCCACGCAGAGCACCTTGGAAGGTGGTCATTACAGTCCTGAGGCATCCTGGGAAGAGTTGGTGCAGGGCATTGTGGGGACTGGTCCTTATTGTCCCGTATAACGTTTTGCTCTGCCTGCTTTACCCCAGTATTGTAGGAAGGGTTGCCTATTATCTTCGCGCAGGGCATCTTGGGAGTGGATTGTTACAAGCTCAGGAGATTGTGGGGTCTCGTCTGCATGGTGTGGAGATAGCCTTATTTATGCCCCTCTAAAGTCTTGGGAGCCAGAATGGCCGCCATAGGCATCATAGGAATGGGACTTGTGCACCAAGGAATGCCTCTGCCCGACCTCTGGAATACTGTGGAAGGGGCCTTGTGTGATGTGGTCTTGGGAAAGGGCGGGTTAGACTGGTGAGCAAGGTCCCCTGGTCACCTGGAGGTCCTGATTGTCCGTGGTGCATGAAAAGTAGTTGAAAAACTCGACTTCGGGTAAACGCATGTATGTCCAAAATAGTGCATGGAATGTAATATACATATAAAACAATTTGCTTACCTGAAATTCAAATTTAACTGGGCATCATGCTTTTATTGACTAAATCTGGCAACCTTGGTGTAAAGTAGAATTCCTAAATTAAATGAGGCCATACAGGCAATAGGGTCTTAGGAGAACTTCTGTGCTAAATATGAATCTTCTCTGTTCTTAAAGCCCATCATATCCAGGTGTCTTTAGAAAACCCCTGCCTTTGGGCCAGCCCCCAGCCTTTTTCAGTCATCAGTCCGTAAGCTTTTTGTTTTAGTTCGCAGCATTAAACTTGACCTCCAGGCTCTGAAGTCACGTGTACCTTCCACCATTGTATACCTAGTGCCCAGCACAGGCCTTAGCATAGAAGAGGCGCAGCTGAGCTGCCAGCACATTCCATAATTTACTTTGCCTGGCTCTCCCAGAGAGCCTGCATATCTGGAAGTGCAGTGGGAAACAAAGAAGTGGGGTGTGTGTGTATAGGGAGGGATTGGTGAAGAGGGAGAGAAAGGAGTTAAGAGAAGACTTCTTGGTAGAGGCAGACATAGTATTCGAACTGGGAGGAAGTACAGAGATTCTTCTGTTTGAGGTAAGCTTTGGAGGGCAGGTTGGGGTTCTCCAGGCTGACAAGAGGGAAGAGGAGGATATTCTGGATAAGAACAGCAGGATTTGCTGAGAACCACAGATGGGAAAAGTCCTGCGTCTTCCATGCCCAGGGAGAGGGAGACATCTGCAAGGGCTGGGGTTTATAGAGAGTCGGAAGTGGGAAGTAGTAACAGCCACTGAGTACCTGACACATAGGAGCAATTTGTGTGAATGAATCTGATGAATCTTAGAAAAATATTTTCAGCTGAGGGATTGTTTTATGAGACTAAGGATGAGGTGGTTTCAAATCCTAGCCCACGTGTGCGTGAACCAGTTGGTATGACCTTGGGCTACCTGTTAATCCTCTGTCATTATCTTTATCTGTACAAAGGAGATAATGTTTCAACCTGGTTATGAGAACTGAGTTAGGTCCCAAAGCGCTATTTTGAAGAAAACATCTTGATCCTTTGCTTAAAGCTACACAGAATATGGCAGATTCAGGATTCAGATCTAGATACCTGTATTTTACCATGTATAATACGTGCTTTTTTGCCCCAATTTTAAAAAAAGATTTTATTTATTTATTTATTTTTAAAGAGAGGGAGAGAAACATCAGTGTGTGAGAGAGACAGTACAGTGATCGGTTACCTCTCACATGTCCCCAACTGGGGCACCTGGCCCACCCCATGCTTGTGCTCCGACTGGGAATGGAACTGGCGACCTTTCCATTCTCAGGCCAGCACTCAATCCACTGAGCCACAATTTGGGCAAGGGCATGCCCAGATTTTTTGAAGGAAAAATAAAGGTGTGTATTACACATGGGTAGTTCTAATTCTGTATCTACATAGATGTTTTTCATTCTTTTATTTATGCTTAATGTATTAAAAGTAATTCTAGAAAGCAATAACAATATCTGTATGCAAAATAATACCCTGGAATATGATCATTGGTTTTGTTTCCAAAAATAAGTAAATAAAAATTTGAATTGAAAAATTAAAATGAAATTTTTTTCCCTGAAAGTTTGAGCCAAAAACATGGATGCTCATTATACATGACAAAGTACGCTACTGTCTTGCCAGAGTGTAAGTTAGTATAGAACCATGGCTGACATTCACAGGCTAGCACAACCATACCAGATGTTTAAATATTTAAATACTTCTGCCCTGGCTGGTGTAACTCAGTGGATTGAGTGTGGGCTGTGAACCAAAGGGTCACCAGTTCAATTCCCAGTCAGGGCACATGCCTGGGTTGCAGGCCAGGTCCCCATTGGGGGCGCACGAGAGGCAACCACACATTGATGTTTCTGTCTCTCTCCCTCCCTTAAAAATTAAAAAAAAACAAAAAACTTCTGGACTGGTAGGTGTATCACCTCTTCCCCAAGTAATCCATACCCCCAACTGTCACTTTGGATGTTCCCCCAACTCCAGACTTTCCCACACTCCGGCGACTAACAGATTAATGCCTAGCATAGAACCACATTCCATTCTCAGTTCTGATTCGTGCCCATGCTAATACCCATCTTTAAATATTTGGAATTGCCCTGGCTAGTGTGGTTCAGTGGATTGAGTGCTGGCCGCGAACCAAAAAGTTGCCGGTTTGATTCCCAGTCAGGGCACATGCCTGGGTTGTGGGCCTGGTGCCCCAGTGGGGGGGTGCGTGAGAGGCAACCACACATGGATGTTTTCCACCTCTTTCTCCCTCCTTTCCCCTCTCTCTAACAATAAATAAATAAATAAATAAATAAATAAATAAATAAATAAATCTTTTAAATAAATCAATGCTTGGAATGTTATGCTTTCCTGCCCCACTGAAGAACCACAGACAGCTCTGTCGTCCGGATGAGGAAATGAAGACCTACATAGGGGCAGGGCCTGCAACCAAAACCCGGTGGACAGATGGGGACAGAGCCGGGGCCATCTTTGCTTTGCCCCCCATCGCTGAGCACATAGCTGAGCCTGGGGCGGCAGATGCTGTGTAAAAATTTATTGAGTCACCACAGGCCTTTCCTTTCCCTGTCCAGCATCCCTCTACCTGCTGACATCCTCCTGCATTAGAGAACTTGTGGCCGAGGTGTTTCTGTGGAGAGCTGGCCAGGGAGGGCCGCTGCCTAGCTGCTGCTCTGTTCCTGTCTCCTGTCTGCTCCTCTGGCCATGACAGAGACCCGTGAGCCAGCTGAGACTGGGGGCTACGCCAGCTTGGAAGAAGATGAGGAGGACCTCTCTCCAGGTGAGGCGGCCTTAGAAGTGGTGGCGTTGGCTTGAATAGCATCCTGGCTTGGGATTGGAGCTTCGCTGAGAGATCTTGAGGGGGAATGGTTGCTTGTCTCACTAGGTGTTCTGTTCCGACTGGGGCTCTCTGCCCTGCTGGGGGATCCCTTCCAGCTGAGGCTTCTGGTGGGGCTTCTAGACTGGCTGTGGTTGCTCTCTTTTGGGGAGGTTCTAGGCTGGCTGTGGTTGCTCTCTTTTGGGGAGGTTCTAGGCTGGCTGTGGTTGCTCTCTTTGGGGGAGGTTCTAGGCTGGCTGTGGTTGCTCTCTTTGGGGGAGGTTCTAGGCTGGCTGTGGTTGCTCTCTTTGGGGGAGGTTCTAGACTGGCTGTGGTTGCTCTCTTTTGGGGAGGTTCTAGACTGGCTGTGCGCTGTCTTGCTGGGGGTTCTGGCTTGGCTGTGATCTCTCTTCGTTCTGGGGGTTCTAGATCGACTGCGACCTCTCTCCGTCCTGCGGGTTCTAGATTGGCTGTGGCCTCTCTCCCTTCTGGGGCTTCTAGTTCCACTGTGATCTTTCTTTCTCCTGGGGATTCTAGATCGGCTGTGATCTCTTTCCATGTCAGAGCTTCTGGATCTGCTGTGATCTCTTTCCTTACTGGAGCTTCCAGATCGGCTGTGATGTCTCTCTTCTCTGGGGGTTCCAGGTCGGCTGTCATCTCTTTCCTCCCTGGAGGTCCCCGATTGGCTATGATCTCTTTCCTTGCTGAGAGTTCTAGATTGTCTGTGGCCTCTGTTCTTGCTGAGGCTTCCAGACCGGCTGTGACTTCTTTCCCTCGTGGGGGTCCGAGATTGGTGTTGACTTTTTTCGTGGCTGTGCCTTCTAGACTGGCTGTGTCTTCTCATGTGGCTGGAAGTTTCCTTCCGGGTACGACTTCTCGCCCTGCTGTGGGTCCTCTTCCGACTGCGGCTTCTGGCCCTTCTGGGTGTTCTAGACCGGCAATGGCTTCGGGTCCTGCTGGATGCACTACCCTGCTTATAACTCTTGAGGATGTTGGCTATCTTGTTTGGGCTATAAATCCACTTTCTGCGGAGGGTGATTATCTGACTGTAACTCTTCACCCTTCTCCATGATGGAGACTGGCTATAGCCTCTCTCCTTGAAGGAACTTCTGGTGGAGCTGTAACTCTTTGCCCTGCTGGCGGTGACAGCCAGCCTGGAACTCGTCCCCATACCTGAGGTTCCTGGCGGGCTGTGACTCTTCTCTCTGTTCATATTTCTACGCTGGCTCTTACTCCTGTCCCGGCTGCTGGTTCTAGGCCGGCTGTAACTTTTCCTCCCTTTCTCTTTTTGCTGGGAAGTCGTTCTCACCTTGCTGGGTGACTTCTTGGAGCGGCGGCCTCCCCTTCTGCCAGGAGTTCTGCCCCGGCTACGTGTGCCCTTCCGCTGGCGGCGCCTTACTCCGCTCACCTTGCTGGCAGTGCTGGCCCTGGTGTCAGTGCTGGCCTTGCTAGGTGTCCTCGCCCTGGTTCTCGACCTGCTGCAGGGCTGGTTAGAAGGGGCTGTCTTTGTGCGTTCCCATTTGGTGGACTTGGAACCGCTGGGGCTCGTGACCGAGGTGGGGGCAGTGGATGGCGTGGTGGGCACCGAAGAGCCGTTGGGCATTGCCGACTCAGTAGCCTTTGTGGAGGGAGGGAGCATGGGAGACACTGTGGGCATCGAGGGTCCGGTGGATGCCAGAGACCCGCTGGGCTGTGAGGTTCTCGTAGGTGGAGAAGACATGGTGGGAGCAAAAGGGCTTGTGGTCCTGGAAGTCCCAGCGGACGTGAAGGACCTGGTAGCCCTGGACGGCCAGCTGATTGCCTTTCACAGGCCAAATGCGTGAAGTCACAGTGGGCATTGAAGACCCTGCGGGTGCTGTGAAGTCAGAGGTGGGAGGACAGGGAGGGGTGGGGCCCTGTCCCAAGGCCAGAGAGGTTTCCTCTGTGCTTTGCAGTCAGTCGTTCAGCAGGTCTCTCCTAAGGCTCACGGAGGCTCAGCATCGCTGGGGACACGCAGACAGGTAGCCAGATTGTCCTGCCTTCTGGGAGTCTTCACACCCAGGTGGTCAGTTGTGTTAGGGGGGCCCAGAGCAGAGAGACACTGACTGCCGAGGGACCCAGGGAGGACCTCACAGAGGGGGTGACAAGTGAGCTGGAGCCTTAAAAGGGAGCAGGAAGTTGCTGCTCAGTATGAAAAAGGCGGCCCCAGGTGGGAGAAGAGCAAAGGCAAAAAGGCCTGGAGGAGGGAGGTCTGGGCCTTGGGGCTGAAATGAACCAGACAAAGTCCCTGCTTCCACCGGGACAGGCAATAAACAAGCGAGTAGGTGTCACAGAAAGTAAGTTGAGAAACATAAAGCAGGGTCAGGGGCATAGGAACGCTGGGGGGGGGTGGTCGCTGGTTAGATGGAGTGATCAGGGTGTCACTGAGAAGGTGGCACTGGAGCAGAGATGTGACAGAGGGGCAGGAGCAAAGGCTCGGCCCGCCTCCAGGAAGGGTGGCGAGGCCCTGAGGCCCGTGCATGCCTGGGGTATGGAGGGACAGCCAGGAGCTCGGGCTGGCTCCGTTGTAATAGGAGCCTTCTGGGCTGCCAGAGAAATCGGAGGAAGGGGGGCCAAAACGAATGCAGGGCAAGGCTGCTGCAGCCCTGGGAGGTGCCCGTGGCAGGCTCCTGCCCCTGCATCTGAAGCAGCGGTGTCCCCACAGCGCCCCCGAAGTGGGGGCTCCTCCTTCCTGCACCATCGCTTGTGTGTGCACCCCCATCACGACCGCTGGTGTCGCCCTTTCCTGTGCATGGACTTGAAGTTGTTTCTTCCTTTTTTACCCTAAACTTGTCCTACACATGTCCTTCACATGCATGCAGCCACGGCCAGCCCTGGCTGGTGTTGCTCAGTGGATTGAGCACCGGCCTGTGAACCAAAACGTCGCTGGTTCAGGTCCCAGTCGGGGCACATGCCTGGGTTGCAGGCCAAGTCCACAGTTGGCAGCGATGTACGCTTGTCTCGCACAATGATGTTTCTCTCCCTCTCTGTCTCCCTCCCTTCCCATGTCTAAAAATGAAGAAAGCTTAAAAAAAAATCACAATCCTATATCTATACGTACACATAAATCTTCTAATTCAATTAACTAGATATTTATCTATACAGTCACGTGCCACATAAGGAATGAAATTTTGGTCAACAACTGACCATATATACCGTGTGGTCCCATAGATCAGAGTGGAGCTGGAAAATGCCTACTGCCCAGGGACGTTGTGGCCGTCGTAACTGCGTAGCGCAGTATGTTACACTCATACCGCTGTATGGTTGCCCGCAGTATTCGGTGCCGGAGCACGCGGTGCCGGTGTGTGGCCTAGGAGCTGCAGGGGGCGCGGACTTTGTCGCTCCCGTGCACGGTCAGCCCTCAGGCCGCACGGGTCTGAACTGCTCAGGCTCCTTCACGACGAGGCTTCTTCTGCTGACCCTCTCAGTCCAGACCTTCCTGTTCAGGGCTCAGCTGCAGGTCTGTTTTGCATAAGGATTATTTTAAGCTGGACATTTTCAAGAAATAACTGTCAGGGGGATGTTCTGAAGACCAAGAGGCAGCTACCCTTTGTGAGAGGCATTTACTTTTTTTTTTTTTTTTAAGATTTTATTTATCTTCAGAGGGGAAGGGAAGGAGAGAAGGAGAGAATATCAATGTGTGGTTGCCTCTCGTGCATCTGCTGCTGGGAACTGGCCTGCTACCCAGGCATGTGCCCTGACTGGGAATTGAACTGCGATCCTTTGGTCCATAGACCCTGCGCTCAGTCCACTGAGCTACACCAGCCGGGACTCCTGCTCCTCTTTAAGGCTCCAGCTCACACCTCCCCTGCCCTGTGAGGTCTTCCCTGACTTCCCTGGCTATCAGTGTCTCTCTCTGCTCTGGGCCTCTCCCCTCCCCCCCGACACAACTGACCCCCTGAGCCCTCACTGTCTTCTGGGTCTGGGTCCTGCAAGGTCTCTGTGTCCCAGCAGTGCCGAGCCTGAGTCAGCCTTAGGAGGTACTTGTTCACATGTTTGTCTCCCTAAAATGATTTCACATAGGCGATTACCCGTATTCAGCATTCCTGATTAGAGCTGTGTGACCGAAGGCCCAACTGCCCCGTGCCTCAGTTTCTCCTTTGGTCACTCAGGAATAATAATAATGATAATGATAATGATAATAGGGTGTCCCTCCAGAGTTGCTGTAAGGGTTAGGTGAGTTAATACGTGAGACCAGGGCTCTTCCAAAAGCGATAGGCGCTGCTACTGCTGCCGCCATGTTTACTGTTCCCCCGTTTACTCCTGTTCTGTCTCTGTTAGCTCCTAAGATGCCATTCTGGCAAGACTTTCATTCGCTTGACCAGCAGACAGGGAGCACCTGCCGTGTGCCAGGCGCTGGTCTGTGGGACGGGGAGCCATCTGTTGGGAAGGGCAAGGTGATGTCCAGGCCATTCTGTCTCTCTCTCTGGTGACTGGCCTCAGTGGGGCTCCCAGGCAGCTGGGCGTGGCCTTCCGTCTTCTGATGCTGCTGTCTTCCCCTGCCTGTCCCCCTGCAGGCCCCGAGCATTCCTCTGACTCCGAGTACACACTCTCAGAGCCGGACTCTGAAGAGGAAGAAGATGAGGAGGAGGAGGAAGAGGAGACCACTGATGACCCCGAATATGACCCCGGCTACAAGGTGAAGCAGCGCCTGGGTGGGGGCCGGGGCGGCCCGTCCCGCCGGGCCCCCCGTGCAGCCCAGCCCCCGGGCCCCGCAGCCCAGCCCTGCCAACTCTGTGGCCGCTCGCCCCTTGGGGAGGCCCCGCCAGGCACCCCGCCCTGCCGCCTCTGCTCTCCCGCCACAGCCCCCCAGGAAGCACCCGCCCCGGAAGGCAGGGTGCTGGGGGAGGAAGAAGAGGAGCCCCCTCGGGCTCGGGAGGGCCAACCCGCCGGGAGAGAGGAGGATGAGGAGGAGGACGAGGAGGGCACCTACCACTGCACGGAGTGCGAGGATTCCTTCGACAACCTCGGGGAGCTGCACGGGCACTTCATGCTGCACGCCCGGGGCGAGGTGTAGGCGAGCCCCCACCCAGGAAGCCTGGCAGGAGGGGTGGGGGGGAGGGGGCTGAGGAACCCGGTGCTTGAAATGGTCCTTGCGCGGGGGGCGGGTACTGCTGAGCTGTGTCCTCTTAGTATGTGTGAAGGCCAGAATAAAGCCAGATTCTGCGTGTGTCGGTCCAGCGTGTTTGCTCTGTGTGTGTGTGTGTGTGTGTGTGTGTGTTTATGCTCTAGGCTGTGAGCATGTGCCTGGGCATCCGCCTGCATGCCTCTCACCCCCTGGGCTCCTTCTAGGGGGAACTTTAGGGTAATTGTTGCCTAGATAATTAACATGTACTAAACACCATGCGTTCAGTGTAGTTTCCACGAATTTACTCGCACGCCCCATGAAGGACAGGCTCAAACACAACAGAATTTGGTTTCCCGCTCACACAGTCGTCCAGGGTAGGTGTTTCAGGTTGGCCGGAACCCTGCTCCATCTGGTGAGGTGGGGACCCAGACCGTCTCCTAAGCCTGTTTTCATCCCCATGGTCATGCCGGGCGGCCTTGGCCTGGGGGTCTGGAGAGGCACACGTGTTCTCTTACGAGCCCCGGCCTAGAGGGGGCAGTACGGCTCCCATTTACATCCCTTTGCCCAGAAATGAGTCACGTGGCCGCAGCTCCCTGCAAGGGAGTCTGGGAAAGGCAGCCTAGCCAAGTGCCCAGAAAGCAGAAGATAATTTGTGTTCCCTCCGTTTTGCCTAAGAACCTTCTCAGGACTTGCAGACCTGGCTGGGCGGCTCAGGTGATTGGAACGTCGTCTTGTACACCACAGGGCAGAGGGGCCGATCTCCAGGCAGGGTGCATGCTGGAGGCAGCCGGTCCCTGTTTCTCCCCCCTCCCCTGCACCCTCTTGTTCCCTCTCACTCCCTCCTTCCCTTCCTCTCTCTCTAAAACCAATAGTCACATCCTTGGGTGAGGATTAGAAAATAAAAAAAGACTTTCATTAGAATCATAGCTGTGCTTCTTGGGTGCCAAGTGCTGGTCCAAGAGCTTTATATGTGTTGACGCATATATAAGTTGTGCATCTAGGAACTGACAAAAATAGAACCTTAATTATAATCACAGTTGCCATTTTCCCCAGCACTTCCAGAGTTCCGCGTGTCATTTGCATGAGATCATCAAGCCCTTAGAATAACTCTGAAGTAGGGACTGAGCCATTAATTCATTCCACAAATATCTTTTGAGGACCTGTGCGTTAAGCCTCGGGAATATGCCCGTGAATAGAATAAAATGCTTGTCCGCATGGAGTTTACACGGGGCAGAGCAAAAAGGGGCCACGGGTGGGGACAGTCAACGAGGTGTAGTATATGCTGGGCGGTGGCTGCTGTGGAGAAAAATTAAGCAGAGGAGGGAGAAGAGTTCTGGAAGGGAGTTGCGATTTTAAACAGTGTAGTCCCCCCTGCAGAAGAGACAGACCTGAGGGAGGGAGGGAGGGAGCCTTGCACTTGGGCACGGAGAACGGTCCAGGTGGGAGGAGGAAGGGGGTGGGGAGGGCCGGCTCCTTATAGCCTTGTCCAAACTTTGGCTCTCGCTCTGAGATGGGAAGTGCTCACTCACAGAAGGTTGGCACCAAAGCTGCTTTGAAAATAGAAGCTTAATTATAATGACAGCTACCATTTACTGAGCATGTGCTGTGTGCCAAGCCCCGTTCTAAGGCGCTTTACATGTGTTAACTCATAGAGGCTTGGCAGCTAAGAACCTGAATTACCGGTAGCGGCCATCGTTAAGTCATCACTCACAGCGGACCAGGCCCTGGGCTAAGCACTTTATATGGACAATCGCCTCGGATTCTTCTGAGGTAGGGACTGTGATTTATTTACTCCTGACTTATTGAGCACCTGTGAGATGCAGGCACTGTCTGGGGCGCTGGGAATACAGGGGTGAACATGACCAACAGCCATCGCTGCCTTTGCCGGCGTTGCACTGGGGGAGAGAGACAGGCACTGTGTTAGACGTTGAAGCAAAATATAACATGTATGTACTGTTGGACGGTAGTGAGTGCTGTGGAGGAAAAGGGGGGGTGGGGAGGCTGGTGTGTGTGGAGCAGTTGCAGATAGGGTGGTCCGCAAGGCTTCTCCGAGAATGGACGTCAGAGCAGGGACCTGGAGGGGGGGAAGGAGCGAGGCTTGCAGCTTCTGCGGGAACAGCCAGCTCAGAGGCCCTGGGGTGGGAGTCCGCTTGGGATGTTTGTGGCAAAGTGCGCAGGCGAGAGGCTGCTGCTGAGGAAGGGCGGGAAGACCGGGGCAGAGGGCGCAGCCACGTAGGAGACGACACTGACTTTGGCCTTCTCTCTGCATCTCAACCATCATCATGATCTTTAGAGGCACTGGGTCTGCTGTCATGTCATTTTACAACCGCCGCGGCCGGGGCAGCGAGACGTTGAGTTACCCACTGGTGGTCACAGCTTGCACCCGGCAGAGCCCGGGTCTGCTCCCAGACAACAGGGCGCAGGGCACGTGCTCTTCGCCATGGAGCCACACGCCAGCGACGGCAGACTGGCCTCTGCCCCCGGCCACCATCTGACCTGCAGTGGGTATTTGGTCTCCATGGGTCATTGAGGGTTTTTAAATCATGTTGGTTACCGCCATTCACAGCTGGGCAGATTTGTAGAAATGGAGGCGTGTGGCTTCTCTTGAAAAACTGGGAGGTCTGGGTTGCTGATTGCTGAGCCCACAATCTTACGGGGCAGCAGTCGGCTAGAGCTGAGTAATGGGGCATTCCCTGCCACTGACATCTGGTGTCTAACCCCCTCACGCCCGCTTGCTGCACTGATTTGTTACCCCTTTGGCCCCCAAAAGCATTTGCCTTTGATCCCTGTTACCGGATCTCAGACCGAAGCATCTTTCAAAACCCATACTTTTCATCCTAGAAGCCCCGAGTCACAGTACCTGACGTTGATCCACTGAGACTTTCACACTCACTGTAGCTTATACTTAACATCATTGAATCTTAAAAATCATCAAAGCAGAAATGTACAGCTCATTAAAACAACTCGGATTTTATTTCCTGGGGCAGCGTGTGTAAGGCCTCTTCTGCCCTAAGGCAGGGCTTTCTTTCTAAGCACACGTGTAGAGAATTACCCATTTGTCAGCAAAAATTCATAAAGGCTCATGAGAGCCCGGAAATCAAGAGACCCAGTCTGCTGCCAGTGGGGTCATTTGGAAGTTCCTCAGGCGCACTCAGAGTATAGAACCACACCGAGAATTCCCAAGAGAGGACTTAGAGCGCAGGGAATTGGTCCCACAGGTGTTAGAAGGCTGGAAGTACAAGCGTGGGAAAGGGAAATAACCATGAAATGTGTCTGCAAGAAGTTCCCACCCCCAGGACTGGGCTACAGAAAGAGAGGTGTGGTGACCAGAATCCAACAGGCCACGTGCGGCTGGTGCGGGGACCAGTGACAAGGTACCAAGCGGCAGGTGCTTAAACCTCGAGAGAGGTTTGTGTGAGCACAGGAAGGTGCTGGAGGGGTTCCAGCAGGAGCCCAAAGCCAGGTGAGACTCCTTCCCTCCCACCTTCCTTCTGCCCACACCTCTGATGGGCAGGACTTAAGGAAGCCAGCTCTCTGAGGCAGGGGGAGGCCAAGTGGCAAACACACAAAGTGAAGGGGTGTTTTCTGTGTGTCTTTGGTAAGTGCCATCCCTAGTGCCGGGGGTGAACCGTGAGGAAGACATGGCACCTGCCCTTGGGAGGTTGGAGTCTGAAATGAGGACGCAGATAATGAAACACGTAAGTGTGATGATGACTCCAGGTGTTGAAGAGTGCTGGGAAGAGATTAGAGTAAGGGTTAGAGGTGCTACTTTAGCCAATCGGGTCAAGAAGGACCTCTCTGAGGTGGCACATGCTGAGACCTGAATAACGAGGAAGTGGCCTTTCGGAATTCTGGGTACGAGCCCTCCAGGCAGAGGGCACAGCAAGTGCAAAGGCCCTGAGGCAGCAGCCAGCCTGGCATCTGTGGCTGGACAGCAGTGAAGACAGAGCAAGGAGGGAGTTGAGGTTGCTGAGTGGGCTGAGGCTGTTTTGATTGGGTTTCAAGGGCCTGGGTGAGGTCTTGGGGAGTTACTTAGGGGATTCCATTGCAGGGTTTTAAATGGGCAGGGGCGTAAGCTGATTTACATACGTACAGGGGATACTCCGTAGCAGAGACAGGAGGGGGCAGCTTGAGCAGGGGAGCAGTTAGGAAAGTAGGGCCGGGGAAGAAGTCATCAGAGTCTTCAAGAAGTTAGGAGTTGAGTGCACTGTTTGCAAATATGATGGCAGTTGTGGTGACCCATTTTGGGTTTGCAACTCCATGTATTGTCCGGGTGGCTATGTCTCATGGGGGGGCATCCAAGGTTTGGGCTGAAGATAAAGATTTGGGAGTCACCTGTGGTGCTATGTAAAGTCTTGGGAGCCTATGCCGTCTGGAGTGTGGCGAGAACAGGAGGCCGTTGGGTACCTGGGCGGGCAGCCGTCTGTCCTGAGAGAATGTGCTGGGTGGGACACTTGAGTTTGCGGTTGGGGGAGCTGCTGTAGGGGTGCTGTGAAACACCTGGGCCAGAGACTTCTGGGCTTTCTTCCGGTGCCAGAGGAAATGTTTGGCTTTGGTGAAGTTAGTATCTTGGAAAGAAGTGATGGCCAACTGACTCCACGCCAGCCTTCCCGTAAGTGACCCCAGCAGAGCTCCAGGCTGGCCAGGCCTGCCCCAAATACTACGCACACACAACCCTGCTAGAGGTGGTATTTCCCAGGGAGGGAATCCAACGTTTAGGCTCGGAGCAGGTTATACGTCTATTAGCTGGTCAAGGGGTTGGCAAACTTCTATGACAGACTATATGTTAACTGTTTTAGGCTTTGTGGGCCATATGATCTTTGTTGCAAGTACTCAAATCCACTGTCCTATGTGAAAACAGCCACACACGACATGTAAATGAATTAGCATGACTGTGCTCCAATAAAACTTTACTTGCAAAACCAGGAGGCAGGCTGCATTTGGCCGGTCTGCCTTAGGTTGTAGTTATGCTGCACGTGACAGAGACCCAGACTAATGGCAGCTTCCGCAAGGTAGAGACTCATTTCCTTACATGATGGTAGGGAAGTGGGCGTTCTAGGGCTGATAGGACGGCTCTGCTGCGTGAAGTTGACCGGCGCCCAGACTCCTGCTGTCTTGTTCCTCTGCTCTCATGGTCCAAGGTGCCTGGAGAGTCACATTCCAGGCAGGAAGGTGGAGGCAAACAATGTCCCTTCCTGAAGCCTGAGGACTCTCCCCAGCTTTTCAAGAGCTGAAAATAGGATCTGAATGGGAAACCTCCAATGTTGGCCGAGCACGAAAGGAAACAGGAGGTATCTCTGTTTGATTCCAAACCAGATTCCTCACAGCGCCCGGGCGGCTCTGCCCTGAGCTCCCTCCTTGTTATGCCAAGAGTCGAGGTCCTCCGCTCAGCACATGGCTTGCTGATTCCAAAGAAAACCCAGAGGACGGGCTGTGGAAGACGTGGGTTTATTTAGACTTACATGTGCATCCGTGGTGGCCAGCTGGTGGAGTCTGCCCCAACCCGGGTTTTCCCAGCACGGGGATACACAGAATACAGGAAACAAAGCAGACTGGGTAGGCAGGGTGCTCGTGTGCAAGCTGTGAGATCAAAACACTGGCTGTTTCCCTGCAGTTGTTTACAGTCTGGGCTCACATCCGAAAACAGTTTGTCTTTGCTCATTTTTCTTTCTTTCTTTGCTCATTTCTTGACTGAGGAGCTGGCCAGGCTCCCGAGGTCGGCCCCACAGTCGGCTTACAAATGGCCTTCCTCATATTCCCACAGGGTGGGGTGGGGGCGGGAGCTTGGGAAGGGACCCATGTTGTCACATCCCATACACCCCTCCCCATGCCCTTCTGTACTCTGGGAATTCCTGCTGAAAAGCCAGAGTTCCTTGTTTAGGTATCTGAATATAGAGCTTTTCTGGTTTTAGATACTATTTCTGTTAGCTTGTTTGTGCCATCTCACCTGCACATATTAAATACTCCATGGCCAGAAGGGAAAGGCGGGCAGAGGGTGGAAAGGAGACAAGGACTTGAACTGCCACTGCCACGGGACTCAGGGCGGCTCCTTAACTTTGCCGCGCATCCCCACAGGCCCGAGCTGCTCCATGTCCCCGGACTGGTGGCACTGGAGGCCAGCAGCACCACCTCTTCCCTGCCCCCTGCAGGCACAAATCAGGGCAGTTTGTTCCTGCAGCCCCTGCCATCCATCTGGGAAGAATAAAAGGGGATTCTGCAATCTGCAGCTACTTGTCATTTCACACTATTTAACTGGGGATGAGGGATATACAAATAATATTTCCTCTTTCTTACTCATTTTTTAAAAAGATTTTATGGATTTATTTTTACAGAGAGGGGGGGAAAGAGGGAGAGAAACGTCCATGTGTGGTTGCCTCTCACGCGCCCTCTACTGGGGGCCTGGCTTGCAAGCCAGGCATGTGCCCTGACTGGGAATCCAACTGGCAACCCTTTGTTTGGCAAGCCGACACTCAATCCACTGAGCCACACCAGCCAGGGATATTACTCATTATTTTCTAAACAAAAGATCTCACTATTGTCTGATTTCCCCAAAGGCCTTTCTGTCCTCTAAAGACTGAAGCTCTAAATGAGGAACATCTTCTGGGCCCTACTTCTCAACACCCCTTTGCCTTTCCTGGGAGGAAAGCAAATTCCAAGGGCCCATCCCATATCAGAAGAGGGTCCCACCAGCCACAGAACCCCCAATACCATAGGGAGGGCTGCAGCTGCACTCCGAACTCCCCATGGGCATGCCGGATGCAGTGCAGATGCAGCCCAGCTTCCTGGGCAAGGTCCTGACCACGCTCTGTGCAAGCAAAGAGGCCACGAGGGATGTGGGCCTCATGCACTTGGCAGTGCCACCTCAGAGAAGGCCTGCTCAAAGGTCTTGCCAGTCAGAACAGGGGGAGGTGGGCTGGGCAGTGGTGGGTGCAGCCAGCAGGGAGGGCCTGGTGGTGGGACCGTGGCTGCGCTGGTGGGCAATCAGGGTCTTGGATGAGGGGAAGGAGCAGCTGCAGGTGAAGCAGATGAAGAGGGTCCCCTGCAGCTTCTGGGCCACGCTTGCTGGGTGCTCCCATTTCATGTGATGCTCCTGGAACTTGGGAGTCGGTGAAGAGATGAGGCAGCGGGCACACTGCAGGGTGCCTAGATGGCCTGAGGGTGGTGGGAGAGGTCGGGGGAGTCCAGCAAGTTTCCGGTACCTCGCCCATGCCCCAGAATCATGACGACAACAGTGCTTACTATGTGCCAGGCTGTGTGCCAGGGCTGGAGAGCAATGCAGACAGATTATTACTGGGCCTGTTCTATGGACGATCAGACTGAGGCTCAGAGAAGTTAGGGACTTGCCCACAGTCATGAGATTAGGAAATGAGGTGGAGTCAGGACTGGAACCCAGGGAGACTATCCTTCCAGGAGAACTGTGTGATCAGAGCACAGCCTCTGGACCAGACTGGCTCTACTCTTTCCAGATACTATTTGGCAGCTTCCTCATGTGGAAGATGGGGTCATAACTATATCAGTATCTGCCTCATAGGGCTGTTGTAAACACTAAATGAAAGGATTTATAGAAAGTGCTTAGAACACTTTACTCGATGGCTTGCAATTATTACTATTAAGAAAGAGAAAAGCAGCCCCACAGCCCGGAGCTAGCCTGGCGCTCACAGGTGCCCCCTGGCATTCTGTTGAATAGAAACAGTTCCACAGAGCGTGGTCAGAGAAGGCCACACTGACTGGATCAAGACACCAAAGCTACGCCATGGCAGCATCTGAACACAAACACGGACATTGTCCAAGCCACAGAAATGACCAGGCACCCCCCCCCCCCCGTTCCTAGCCAATATGCGTGGCTGCTGCTGCCGCACCAGTCACAGCTCATGCCTGCTGTGTTCCTCTGCCTTCTAGATAAGACTGACAGACAGCCAGCCACAGAGCTGCCAGGCTTCCTGGCACCATCCAATCCAGAGCAAAACCCCTGTTCCTGGAACACTTCCCAAAATCACTTACCACAAACCCAAATCTTATAATCAGTCCTTTGTACAAAATACTCCAGCCGTGGCTGGTGTTGCTCGGTGGATTGAGCACTGGCCTGTGCTCAAATGGTCACTGGTTCAATTCCCAGTCAGGGCACATGCCTGGGTTGCAAGACAGGTTGCCAGTAGGGAGTGCGCAAGAGGCAACCACACACTGATGTTTCTCTCCCTCTCTTCCCCTCTCCCCTGTGTCTATAAATAAAATAAAAATAAAAAATCTAAAAACCCCCCCACAACAACTGCATTACCAAGATGCCTCACAGTGCCTCAATGCTGTGAGCAATAAACCCACTTGTTGACTACAGGTGTTCCTGGGGGTTCTTTGGCTGGAGGGCATTGACACCGTCTGTCACTCACAAATACATGACCTCTCTATGCCTCAGTTCCCTCCTCTGAAAGTGACAGCCAGTTTCATAGGGTCTGCTAAGAGGACTGAATAAGGTAACGGGTGTTAATGTCCTAGTACATAGTGAGCGTTCAGTAGGAGCCGTTGCTGCCTTCATTACCCTCAAGCTTTCCCCTTTTCTGCTGCCAATCCCTGTAACAGCCCTGGGAGGTAAGTAATGACAACCCCTTGTGACAGGGAAACTAAGGCCCAGGTCGCAGTGAAAGTCTAGGGCAGAGTTGGAAGTGGAACCCTGGGGCTCCTCTCAGTTTCTGCTCTTTCCCAGCCACATCGCCCACCCCACGCCTCTCCCATGATCCTTTGCCCCTCTGAACTGCACCCATTCGTACTTAGATGGACAGAGCGGGATGGATACACCTGAGGGTAATCAGGGTAAGGGTGGGCAGTGCCAGTTCCTGCTTGTTAGGGCAGCTCCCCAACAGGCAAGTCCCGGCAGCGCCCTGGACATTGAAATGCCATAGAAATCCTTTTAACATCAGTAACTGTACCGGGTGTAGCAACCACCCTCCAGCCAGCTGCACTCACAGGTGTCAACTCCTGTACCGCAGGGACGACTCTCTTTGGAAGAATCCTGCTGCTCCCTGGTCTCTTCGGGAAGCGGATCCTCAGTGACTAGGGACCCCTCTGGTCAAGAGAGGTGCCTGCGTGATAGAATGGTAAATCCCTTAGAGAGCCCGCTTTGACACAGAGGCTGTCCTTGCCAGTCTTTGACCCTCTGAGATACCATGTCCTTGAACTCTAATCTGATGGAGCTCTTACCAGAGAAACTTAACCCCTCCCAAAAGATTCGACTCACTGGGTTTGTGACTCCCCTTAGAGCCCTCTCACTTGTGTGAGACCTAAAATCAAACTAGCTTCCTGAACTCAAGAGTGTGGAACTCGTTGATTTTTGACACCATCCTCGTCCCGATCTCTCCCACATGTCTTGAAGCAGGTGATGGTATCCACGCTTTAGCCCACCTCTTCCCGAGAGACAGCCTTCTCTGACACCCTGTAACTCTTCTTCCACCCAGAACTCCCGACTCCCACGCGCGCTTTCAGCTGCTTCCCCTCAAGCATGTCCGGCTGCCTCAAGCATTGCCTTCGGCTCTCCTTTTTCCAGGCCGGTATCCCCGGTCGCCTCCGTTTTTTTGGTTTTTTTTTTCCCCCAAGCGGCAGAAGGCTGCCTTTCGTTGCGCCTGTCAGTCGCTCGTCACCTGGAGGGAAGCAGGGTAGGGCCCACCGAGTCTGAAGATCCCGGTGGTTTCCACGCCCTTTCTCTTGATGAGCCTCTAGAAGCCGAGACCCCGAATTGTCATCCGTCAGAAACGCAGTCCTGCCCACTCAGTCTTGAAAATAACGGAGGGCGTCCTTCTCTACACAAGGGCGCGTTATGATGACGTCTAGAGCCGTTCAGCCCTAAGCTTATTGCGCAGACGTGCTTAAAAAGCTCCTGGCGCGCAGGCGCTCTCGCTTCCTCATTGTTCCAAGGTCCTGCGGCAGCCGGAGTTGTGGGGAGCAAGCTCCCGGGGGCCGATCTGCGCAGGCGCTGCGAAGGGTTGTGGTCCTGAGATCACGCTCCCTAGACACACCCCCTTCTAAAGGGACTGACGTCTGGTTAGAGCCCCTGGAACACGTCTCGTGGTCCCCAAATCCCGGCGCTCCAACCTCTTCGGCCTCCGTCCGCCGACTCCAGGGGCGGAGCTTCTCAGCGGCGGACCAGACACTGGGAACGGTACCCTCCCGTGTACCGGCTCTTTGCTCGGTTGGTGATTTGGAGGAGGGGTGCAGGTGAAAACAAATGCGTCCCTGCAGGAGCAGGTGGTTGGAGGCAGGGTTTCTCAGTTTTTGAAGCAGAAAGGGAGACGCATCCATAAAGAGGACCGGCCAGGACTCCGGGGCCCTGGGGATAGGGTCTGGGCGCCGGATTTCTAGGTCCTTGGGAGTGACACCCGAGAATGGAAGGAGACAGAGTGAAGGACTAAAATCTAGGACGAGAGTGCGAAGACTAGGAAATAACGACTGGGCGCTCCCTGACCCCGGTCTTCCCCATCTCTTGCTTCCCAGGTATGCCTCCACCGCGGGGTGACGTGACCGCCTTGTTCCTGGGGCCTCCCGGCTCGGGAAAGTCCTCACTGATTGCAGCTCTGTGCAACAAGGATGTGGAGGTGGTAGAGATCCCCGATGGACGGCCAGACTCCGGGATCCCCAGCCTGCGAGCTGCCGGCCCAGGCCTCTTCCTGGGCGAGTTGAGCTGTCCGCCAGCAGCGCCGGGTCCCTGGGCAGCAGAGGCTAACGTGCTAGTCCTGGTGCTGCCCGGCCCTGAAGGGAACGACGAACCCTTGGCACCAGCGCTGGGGGACGCAGCGCGAGCTGCACTGGCCCGAGGGACCCCGTTGCTGGCCGTGCGGAACCTCCGTCCTGGGGATTCACAAAATGAAGTCCAGGCCCGGGATCAGACCGTGGCCATGCTGGACAGCGCGGGCTTGGGAGCTGTGCCTCTCTACGTGCTGCCTGAGGAATGCGGCAGCAGAGAGGGCTGCGAAGAACTGGAGCGCCTGCGGGCGGCGCTGCGGAGCCAGGCGGAGGCGTTGCAGAGGTGAGCCCAGCGTTTCAGGGTGGGGTAGGGAGGGCTGGCTCTTTGTCTACACCTCTCCCGGAGGCTGTTTAAGGTCTTCCGCCCCCAGCGAATTTAGGGCAAACCTTAATGGGATATCTACTGGAGGCCCTGCTCCTGAATCCAGTCCCGCCCCTCAGAGCAGGTTTTGAGCTCAGTGTTACTCCAACCAAGCAAGGCGTCTGTGCTTGACCCTATTCTGTCATCTAGGCTCCGCACTAGCCAAGGGTCAGCTGGAGGAACTGACCTGTCATCCAGGTCCCGCCTCCTGTGAGTGCTCTCAGGCTACAAGCCCCACCCCCTAAAGAGAAATCTAGAAGCGCCTGGGATCTATCACCCAAATACTGCCCCCAGGCAAAAATTTGGAGAAGGGCTCACCCTGCCAAATACGCTTGTGATCCTCACGAACATTTTACCTGAAGACTTGTAATCTCGAATCTTCCTTATTCTCTCCATCAGCTTGGTTCTCAAGTGACCCCAGTTGCCCTAAAGCCACACCCTTGTTATTTCTGGGTGCCCTCCCCCACTGCCTTTCTCTCATCTCCTCTCCTTTCTGTGCCCACTTGCTAGCTACCTCCTGGATTTTCACCCCCAACCCCCAGCCGTCTCATTTCATAGATGTCAAAATGAGGCTTGGAGAGGGGCAGTTTCTCCTCCAAGTCCACTGCTCATCCACTGTTTTCCTTAGCCCCGTCCCCCTGGGAAGAACTAGTAGATGAGGCTGTCTCCCCTCGTCTTTACTCTCCTTACATCCAGTGTCAGGAAAAAGCCCTCTTGCTGATCTTGCCCGAGTTGAATAGTGAGTGAATAGTGCTGACCTTTCACATCGACTACGGTACATTTGTGGTTCTGTCTTTGCTCCAGGCCCCACCCTCTGTTTTGCCCCACCCAGAACGGCCTTTTCTTAACCCTGCAGGTCCCTGGGAACAGCCTCCTCGCCCACAGAGACTATTCCTGGGAAGACAAGCTAGATCTGGTTCTAGGCTCTGTTGGAACCCTAACCTCATTCAAGCCGCCCCATCCTTGCTTTAAACTTCTGCCCTTTATTCATAGCCCTGGTTTCTATTTGCTGGGCCATCAGCCGGCCCCCTCCCTTTCCTGCTCCCGCCTCACTAAGGATTATTCAGAAAGCTCCACCCTTGCTGTCATAGCCCAGCCCTGTCCCCCTACCTCAGCTCTCTGGCCCTTACCCTTTCTTCTGTCTTTGACCCCATCCCCTCCTGTCCCCGCAGGCTCCTGCCACCGGCTCAGGATGGCTTCGAGGTACTGGGAGCAGCCGAGCTGGAGGCTGTGCGTGAGGCCTTTGAGACCGGTGGCCTGGAGGCAGCGATGTCCTGGGTTCGTGCTGGCTTGGAGCGCCTGGGCAGCGCGCGGCTGGACTTGGCCATAGCTGGCACCGCTGACGTGGGACTTGTGCTGGACGTGCTGCTCGGGTTGGATCCTGGGGACCCAGGCGCTGTGCCTGCTTTGGCGGCGCCTGCGGGGCCCACGCCCTACCCTGCCCCAGAGCGCCCCAATGTGGTGCTCTGGACCGTGCCTCTGGGCTCCGAGGGCACTGATGCCGCCCGCCACCCGACTCACTATGATGCTCTCATCCTCGTCACCCCTGGGGCTCCCACTGAGGAGGACTGGGCCCAGGTCCGGCCCTTGGTGCTACCGGATGCCCCGCTGGTCTGCGTGCGAATAGACGGAGAGGGCGAAGATCCAGAGTCTCTGGAAGAGGAGAAAGCAGAGAAGTCCCTCGGCGGTGAGGGCTTGGACAACGCAGGCGGAGGGGGTTTGGAGAAACATGGCACTGGATCTCAGAAAGCAGGCGATGGAGGAGTTTCAGAGAAAACAGGCAGTGAGGGTTTACAGCAGGTCGGCGCAGATGCGCAGCGATCCAGCAGTGAGGACACTGGGTGTGTGGCTACCTGGAGCCCGGAGGACGAGACCTGGGAGGTGCTGGAAGAGGCGCCGCCCCCGGTGTTCCCCCTGCGGCCAGGCGGACTCCCAGGGCTCTGCGAATGGCTGCGGCGCGCGCTTCCCCCGGCCCAGGCAGGGGCGCTGCTGCTGGCGCTGCCGCCCACGTCCCCGCGTGCAGCCCGAACCAAGGCTGCCGCGCTCCGGGCTGGGGCTTGGCGTCCAGCTCTGCTAGCTAGCCTGGCGGCGGCAGCCGCACCAGTACCTGGGCTTGGCTGGGCCTGTGATGTGGCACTTCTACGCGGTCAGCTGGCAGAGTGGCGGAGGGCACTGGGACTCGAACCCGCAGCCCTGGCACGGCGCGAGCGCGCGCTGGGCCTGGCCCCAGGGGAGCTGGCGGAGCGGACACGCTTCCCTGGCCCGGTGACACGCGCAGAAGTGGAGGCGAGGCTAGGTGCGTGGGCTGGCGAGGGCACTGCAGGGGGTGCAGCTCTGGGTGCGCTCTCCTTCCTGTGGCCTGCAGGTGGCGCAGCGGCTACCGGTGGCCTTGGCTACCGTGCGGCCCACGGAGTCCTGCTGCAGGCGCTGGACGAGATGCTGGCGGACGCGGAGGCAGTGCTGGCACCTCCTGCGCCTGCGCAGTGAAGGGTGGGGTGAGGGCCAGGGCTTCCGGGGTGCTAGGCTTCGCCGGGGGTTGAAGGCTCCATGTCCCGTTTAGAAGAACGGGGTTTAGGGGTCCAGACTCTGGCATGGGATGTCTGGGTCTCTGGTCAACAGAGCAGGTGTGCGGCCACTCCGAATCCTGGGTGCCTGAGGGGGATGAGACTTCTAGTCACCCAGGCCCCTGGGTTTTGAAGCGGTATAGAACCTCGGGGTCAGGACTCCTGATTTCTCTGGGGATCACAGGGCAGCACCCCCACACTTGTGTCTTGAAGGGAGTTCAGGGGTTGGGCTTCTGGAAGGGGATATATTATCTTAGTTGCCAGAGGAGTAGAAAGTGGACATAATGGACATCTAGTCCTCCAGGGATATGGGGAGTCGAAGCCCTGATTCCTGATGGCCAACGTCCTCCTTGTGCTGGGCACTCCGGGGAGCTGGAACTCTTGGACTATGAACCACAAAGGGATAGGGATAGGATAGCGGTATAGGAACTAGGTTTTCTCGGGGGAATAGGTCTGCACACAGCCTCTCAGTTCAAGAGGCGGTGGGCTTTGAACGTTCACTGGGGGTGGGGCACTCTGGGGTCTGACTCCTGGTTCCCAAGAGGGCTGTGGACATCGGTTCCTAATTCCTGGATGGTGGGAAGTCTGCTGCTTCTAGAGGCGGGAACAGGTGGCTGTGTGACAGAGCTAGAAATCCTTTGGTGTCTTGGGGAGTATAGAGATGTTTAATATTTGCTCCTAGTAGGGGGAACCCGGTGACAAAGACTCATTTCCCTGCTGCAGGGGGGAGGATGGTCACACAGAAATGAGGGGAGGAGGCATGGGGGGGGTGGCGGGTCCTGGGGGCAGCCAGACACCGGGAATGAGACCTCCTGGGTATGGAAGGGCAGGAACCCATAGCTCAGAGGTATCTCCTGCAAATCCCTAGTGGATTTCGGTCCTGGAAACTGCCCTTCTCTCTGTGACTGATTGTTCCCATGTCGTAGGCGCTGAGTGACTTGGGAGCTCTCTGGGGAGTCTGTCCCCTCTTCCTGTGCTCTTTCAGTGGTTTCTACTTTTGGACTTGGTTTCTTCTGTCATTAAACCTGAACCCTTTCCAGCCCTGATACTTGTGTATACCTGCCTTTCTGCAGACGCAGCTGTGTGGCTGCACTAATCCCAGCGTTTCTGTGTTGGCTCCCGTGGGCATGCTCAGAAAGCGCCGCCTTCTGGCGCACACAGAGTCTGCAGTGAGCAAGGGACCCAACCAGCGGACACCTGGGTGGGCGTTGCTGCCCATGGGAACGCGCCACAAGGCAAAGGCGGAAACCACAGTGCCTGCGAGGTTCTAGGCTGCCACCTGCGTGCAGAGGAGCAGCCCCAGGGCACAGAATTCTCCAGTGTCAAAAACAGAAAGGGATAGCTCAGTGGATTGAGTGCGGGCCTGGGAACCAAGCAACCACGGTTCGATTCCCAGTCAGGGCACATGCCTGGGTTGCAGGCCAGTTCTCTCCCTCTCTCCTTCCTTTCCCCTCTAAAGATAAATAAAATCTTTAAAAATAAAAATAAAACAGAAAGGGGGTGGAGTGCTGAGAGGCCATGCAGCAGAATCCCTTTTACGATGGTTGGGGAGAACGGAGTCCAGAGAGGGCAGGCTCTAGGCTCAGCAGCACACAGCGCGGCCCCATATGGTCCGGCTCCCGCCTATTCTCATTCTCTGCCCCATCCTGCACCCCAACCAGCTTGCTGGGCCTTCCTTCTGATGCTCCAGTGGGCCACCTTGGGTCCTGCCTCAGGACCTTTGCACTTGCTGTTCGTGCTGCCTAGAATTCTCTCTGCCTCCCACATCCCCAATTTCCATGAGTGGCTCATTCTGCCAGGTCTCAATTCAACTGTCACCTCAGAGAGACCTTCCCTGACCACTCTTAACCGAGGTAGCTCATCCCACCCCCATTATTTATCCTGGCAGGTTAATTTTCCTTGTAGCAATTACCACTGTAGAAAACTATTTATTTATTTATCTATTTATCAGCTGTTATCCCCTTGTCTTAGTCTCTGCTATGCCCCCAGGGCCTAGAGTAATGCTTGACACACAATAGGTGCTTTGTAAATATTTCATTAGCCAGTGACAGAATTAGGGCTGACTGGTGGATTGTCAGCCTCTTGCCGCACGGCAGGGGGAAGAGTTGAGATGGGGGGAGAAACAAGCATCTAATGACAGAGACAGTGCTTGTCTGAGAGGTGGGGGGGCCTGGGAAGCAAGGACAGCTTTGCCACCGTCACCCTGGGTGACCTGGACCAGTGCCTTATTTTCTGTGAAATTTCCTGTGACAGCCGCAGGCAAGGGTGACCGACCTGAGGCACAGACACGGGGCGGGGTAGTGGGGGGCTGGCTCCCCTTCTCCAGCTTGAACTCCCATCTGAGCAGAAATGGCCAAGATGGGAAGAAGCATTTGGCTCTACCGAAGGGCTCCAGGCATTGCGAAAGCTCTCAGCCTCAGGGGAATGAAATTCTATCGGCACAGTGCTTGGAGCAGACGGTCCTGCTGACTTTGGGGGCGACCTTGGGCAAGTCACCCAGCAGATGGTATCTACCTCACAGGGTTATTGTGAGAATTCAGTGTATGTACCCGGGTACGTGCACTCACACGTCAACGTACTGCAGCCCCTCCCGAGAAGCCTGGCACACTGGCAGCTTAAGAGGTATATATAGCCTGCTTGTCCTCGCCCACCTGTCCTCAGCCCTGGGCAACACCAAGACAGCTCTAGTCCGGGCATCTTTGCTCACAGAATGCCGTCCTCTTTGCCATGTTGGCACCACCTCTGATTTTGGTCCTGTCTGACCTCTGCTCCCCTGCTCCCAATTCCCTCTGCCCTTAGGCCAGTGGGGTTCATGCCAGAGGTGGGGCCTGAGACAGCGAGCCCCGCCCCGGTTTTCTTTGCATGCGTCTGCCGTTGGGAGTGCCGATCATCTTACTGTATATAACTGCACTGGTACTCGTGCATGTCACAGCTACCTTTTTGAGTGGTTGACTTTTGATGGCATTGACTTTCAGACTTTGCGGAGGCATAAGGTTGCTAGCGAGGCGCTTGTCTGTGGAAGCATCTAAGGAGAAAGCACTGAGTCTCCCTTTTGGACAGATCGCTGGCTGCCCTTAGGGTGTGTCTGCGTAGCACCTCCAGGCTGGAAGACCCTCAAAGGCAAGAATGCATGGAAGCGTATGATGAATCTTGGCGTTGCCATTGGTCAGAAACAGGCAGAAAGAACTTGAGTGATGAGACGTTTCATCATCTAAGTGGAGTTTCCCACATTTCTGCCTCATGGTAAAGGGACTTGTATCCACTGAGGTGAAGAACCACGAAAGGGCGGATCGGGGGTGTGGCTGTTTGAGGAGTGAATAAAAGTGCGTAGAAATGTCATTCTGTCTCTCTTCCTTTGGGATGTGAAGGGGAAAAAAGATACTTGGGATTTGAACTGGAGCTCAAGTCTGGACTCCCGGGTCTGAGGGAGGAGGGGGCCCAGGGTGGGGACTCCTGAGCCATGGGAGGGGAAGGACAGCGGGGGTTCTGTATGGGAAAGACTTCCTTGGGCTGGAAACAAGTGACTTTATCTGTATCGGAGTTTTACCTCCCTGGGGGTTGGGATGGACCAGTGCCTGCTTTGACCTTGGGGGCTTGTGATGGTGAAGCATCTTTGATCTGGAAGCACCTGGGCGCATTAATGCGTCCAACTTGTTCAGCATCTCTGTAGCCAAGCCCTTGGACAGTCCTTGTCATGCTGACTCCAGACCTGGCCACGGGGTTTGGCTGGGCCACTGGGACAATGGGAAACATGATGTAAGTGGAGGCTTGGGAAGTGCTCGTGCACTGGGGCCCCTGAGGACCCCCGCCACCACTGCCACGTCAAGAAGCCCCACATAATCTGCTGGGCGATAAGAGATGTGGCCCAGTCAGCCTTGACACCCCAGCCCGCAGCCGGCCAGCCCTCTGAAACAGGGCCACCTAGCAGACAGGCAACCGGACCCAGCGGGGACCTGCCGGAGAACCATTCAGCTGATCCAAGACCGAGCTGCTGACTCAGAATCATGAGCAAAATCAAAGGTGGTTGTTCTAAGCCACGAGGGTGGTCTGTCACGTGGCAAAAGGTAACTAACACAGGCTTGTTCCCTCTCTCTGTGATGTGGTCTCTCTTCCCCCTCCACGTGACACAATAAATACAATCTGGAGCTCTGCCACTTTTAGCTGTGTGACCTTCAGTGTGACATCCCTTCTCTGAGCCTCAGTTTCTCTCCCTGAAAACAGGGATGGGAATAATGGAGCCCTATGGCATGGAGCCGTGAAGATGAGGAAGAGCCCCGGAGAGGCCACGGTGGCCATGCATGCTGTCCGTGGAACATGTCACTGCCACGGGGCAGAGCTGCACTTCCTGGTCCGCCTGCTGCCCGGTGGGGCCACGTGGCCAGCTCCATTCAACGAGCTGTGTTAAGTCATTTCTGAGCTGCAGCATTTAATCACCCGGGTGAGACTTTCCTGTGCACAGAAATGGGCCGTGTTCGGTCAGTGGCGGCTCAGTGCCAGCGACGAACAGAACACCTGCGGACAGTGCCAGACATGTAGGACCGGGGTGAAGGAAGAATTGTAGGCAAAGGAAGAATGAGCCTGTTGTGACTTGTCCAGCAAATCCCATCCCTCTTCCTCCCGCTGGAGGGGAAGGAAGCTTCCCTGCTCCCGAATGTTTTCAACCGGGTGATTTACTTTGCTCTGTGGAACATTAGCAGACCTGACTCCGCCAGGACCTTCAATGCACTTGGGTTTCGGGCTCCTGTGATCTGCCACAGAGCCACTGACCTCAGGAGACTGTGCAACCCTAAAAACTTGAATCCTCCTTCCAACACTAGAGCCGTATCAAGCCAATCCACGACCAGAAGTACAGCCACCCCGGCCACCCACAAATGCTTAAGAAGATGAACGCTTGTTGTTATAAGTCTGTTTTGTTTGTTACATAGTATTATGGCACGTGCGTTGACTAATACAATTTTGTTGTTTTAAACCACTGAGATCAGGGACTTCTCTGTTACTGTAGCATAATCTATTCCATCCTGGTCTGGGATGATATTTAGCACCTGCCACCTAATGGCCGTTTCACTAAGTGGCACCTATTACGGTGATTACTATTTACTTAGGCTGTTGTTTCTGGAATCACCACTGTCTTAAAGGTGCTAGGCACTGCACTAAGCACTTTTTTAGTTTTCTTTCATTTGACTCGTACAACAACTCTATGCATGTGTTACTATTAAGAGCCACATTCTGCTGACAGGAAGACTGAGGCAAAAAAAAGGGGAGGTGACTCAGGAGCAGTAATGATGGACTCTGGCCTCTGACTCACCCCCTAGCGGTTTGACCCAAGGCAAATGACATCACCCTGTGTGCCTCGGTTCATCCGTCTGTGAAATGGGGATACTAATAGCAGCTTCAAAGCTGCCGTAATGACGAAATGAGGCACAGCACGGAAAACATTTAGACAGGGGCCCAGCAGGGAGTAATCCTTTCATAAGCCCTGACTGGTGTGGTTCAGTTGGTTGGGCGTTGCCCCAAACTCGAAAGGTCCCCGGTTTGATTCAAGTCGGGGCACGTGCTTGGGTTGCAGGTTCCCTCTGTCCCCAGTCGGGATGCGTGTGAGAGGCAAGCCTCTCTCCCTCTCTTTCAAAATAAATAAATAAAATCTTTTAAAAAATTAATTCATTTATCTTTACAGGGAAGGGAAGGAGAGAGGGAGAGAAATATCAATGTATGGTTGCCTCTCCTGAGTCCCCTGCCGGGGACTGGCCTGCAACCCAGGCATGTGCCCTGACTGAGAATCGAACCGCGATCCTTTTGTTAACAGGCCCGCACTCAATCCACTGAGCTACACCAGCCAGGGCTAAAATCCTCCTTTTTAAAGGTAGGGTTTCCCCTCTCTTCCTTCCAAAGAGGTTGAGCCTTCGGCGTCCTGCAACCCACTTCCCCAAGATGCAGCACATCACAGACACTTGCCAGGCTTGCCTGGTTAATCTGCTTGCTTTATAGACACACAGGGAGCTGCAGGCTGAGCACCAATGGGGAACTCGGGCCGCACATTCCTCAGTTCCTCACTCGGCTCTGCCGGGCGGCTGGGGGGCTGGAAGGCAGTCTGCTCTGCGCAGGAAGTAGAGATAGGAGGCTGAGGGCACCTCGGCCCCGGGCTTGGTGTTGCAGGCACTCTCTGTAGCGCAGCCTCGAGTGGCAAACTTGGCGTTGATGATACCTGGGAGGGGGGTTTCAGAATGGACTCGGAGCCCCCAGCCACCCCCTTCCTCGTGACCTAAGACTCTTGATCCTGCTACCTCCTCGCCCAGTTCTCTGGGGCCACCATCCCCCCCCCCCCTAGAACCTGCGAGCAAGGGCTTCCGGTTCTGGGGTCCCCGTGCCCTCCTCCAGAGACCCAGGTGCCCCTCACCAGCCTGCACGTTGCCAGCGAAGTAGATGCAGTGGGTTTCCTGGCCCACACAGTGGGCTGCCTGGGTCCCGGGGCACGTCTCGTGGAAAGGCACAATGCAGGCAGGACACAGGAGGCCGTTCTCAGTGCGGTTGTTCTGGGGAGCTGGGTGTCAGGGTGGGGTGCAAGGTGCAAAGAGACGTTAGAACCGTCCCCCCAACTCACAGGAACCCTGGGGAGCAGCGGCCGAGAGTGGACAGTGCATTTACAGGAGTGGAAAGTGAGGATCAGCGAGCAAGGGGCCCGCCCTGCTCTGTTACCAAGGACGGATCCGTGGTGGGTTCACGCTCGGGCTGGAAGGGGCGGCTCCCGATGCCGGGCTGTGCTGGCACTTACGGGGCACCGAGCCGCGGTTGCAGCCGTCGCTCTGGCAGCAGTTCGTGTTGGACACCATGTAGTCCTTGGGGCCCATGGTGGTGGACACAAAGCCCGAGTAGCAGTCGCTGAACTTCATGCAGGCTTTGTAAGTGTTCACGGAGTGGTGGCCCTCTGCAGGGTGGGGTGAGTGGGGCTGGGTCCTGGGGGCACCTCCCACCCCCACAGCTCCCCCACCCCATGACTCTCCAGGATGACCTCTTCCACCCCTCCTAAAGCCGTACCCCCTTATCTGCTTGGGGTGCCGTCTGGAGTGGTGGATTAGGTAGCTCTCCTCACCCCTGGCCTCACTGCCACAGCCCCTGGTCAGTCTGTGGTGGTCACTTGCTGTTCTCCATTGCCAAGCCGGGTCTGCCTAAAATGGTCCCTTCTACCCCACTGCCACGCAAAGGCCACCCTCTAAAGGTCCCACGGTCTGTGGTCTTTCCCGGGCTGCCTGTGGCTGCCCTGCAGCTGTGTCAGATGCTGGCTTCCAGCCTTCCCGGGCCAGGGGTCACTTCCCACAGGCCCAGCCCTCACACCACCGCCCTGCAACACCCCCTGTCTGTCTAGGTGGTCTCTCCCCAGATCTCCAACTGATGGCCCGCTGTCACCCCCTTTGCTACCCCCAGGTCTTGCCTTAAGTGGTCTCTTCGGGTCTCCACTGCCTTCCCTCCTCCCCACACGTGGTCTCTCCCAACCCACCTGAAACGTCCCCCCTCTGCACCCCACCAACGGGTTCCCGCCTCGTAATTTCTCCTCCTCCTCCACCCCCAGGGTCTGCATCTCCTTCCCAGATGGGAGGCGGGTATCTCTCCAAGCCTTTCCGGTCCTTCCCCCACCCGCCAATGCTGGACAGGTGAGTAGGGCGGCCTGCGAGCTCTCTCACCTTCCTGACACACCCCTCCTGCGGGGATGGGTCCTACTTGCAAGGTCACCTGCTGTCACAGCCTTTCATTTGCACACGGGGCCCCGTCCCCCCACCCTCTCCTGCCCCTTCTGTTCTCTTCCATTGCTCCCCATCCCCCCATTCTGTCTCAGGTCTGGGAGGTTCCCTTCCACTTATGCCTCCCCCTCTTCTCCAGTTCTACTCACCAGCCTCCCCCCGCCCCATCTCTACTTCTCCTTTGTGCTCCGGGGTTGTCTCCTCTCTCCTTTTATTTCTCTCCTGCTACCCCAACATCATCCCTCCTCCTCCCCCTGCACGATCCCCACGATCCCTGGGGTAGCCCGGTCCTCCTTCCCACGCCCACGGCCCTGCCTGACTGCCTGACTCCCAGCCCACCGCGGCCCCGGCCTTCTCCTCTGTCCGCCTCCCACCTGGCCCGTGAGATTCTTCCCCTCTCACTACTGGGTCCCCGTGTCCTTTCCTCGCCCACTCCTGCCTGAAAAGGCCCCCGTTTCTGCCCCCACCCCCATCTTCTCTTTCGGAGAGTCTCTTTCAGAAATCCCAGGCAACAACGATTTCTATAGCTCCACGGAATTCACGTCCCCCCACCCGCCTCCAGACAGTCTTACTCTCCCCCGTCCGCCCACCTCCCGGGGGGCTCACGCTCCGCGCTCTTACTGGTGCTCGACTCGCCCACGATGACCACGCAGGCGTCCTTGCCGGCCTCGCAGGTCTTCATTTTCCCGCTGCACGTGGGACCCGAGCCCCTACACACTTCGCAGCTCAGCGGGCACCCTGCAGTGCAGAGGGAGGGCCAGGTTGTCGTCCCGGGTGGTGTGGGCTGGGGATCCCGGAGACCCCCGTCGCGGGCAGGGGCGGACTCTGGGCGTCTGCGGGAGGAGGGACAACCTCCTGGGCGGGGCGTTGACCGCGCTCCGGGGAACTGTCCAGCGCTGCACCAGGGACGCGCTGGTGACGCCAGCAAAGCTGCTTCTTGAGGCGGGAAGCGACTCTGCCACCAGCGTGTTCACCTAATTACAAGGCTGGGGGCTTCGGACGCCCGGGTCCTCTGAGAAGGCTCAGGGACAGGGCGGGGTCCTGGGGAAGGTTTCCATGGACTTTCGTGAAGCTTCCAGCTGGTTCTTGGGTGTGGGACCCTCTTTGCGGGAGCCTTGTGTATGCAGGTCTTGTAGACAGTAGAAGCTCAGGCAGGGCTCTGCATCCCAGCTCAAGAAGGAACAGCGAGGACCAGGAGGGCTGAGGGCATGGACCCCTTCGTCCTGACAGGGGGGGACAGCTGGGGGCCCAGACCCCTAGGACCTGGGGAAGGGGGGGGCTTGCCTGAATGCCTGCCTCTAAGGGAAGAGGGGCCAGGGATTTGAACTCCTGAGAGTCCAGAAAAACAGATCTCTCCCTTCCCTCCAGTGTTTTGTGTTGTTTTGTTTTGTTTTGTTAAAGATGCCCCTTTGTAGTCATGCCCTCATTTTCTAGAATTCCAATGTCTTGTTTTGAGACCCCTCCTGGGGGACAGAGGATTCAGAGCCCACCCTGCCCCTTCCTTTCTCAGAAATCCAATCACAACAGCCTTTGAGCTTTTCCTCTCTTGGGCTCCCAGTCTTTCTCTTCCTTTAGCCTCGGCCTTCAACATGACCCTGAATCCCCAGGACACCCCCTCTTTGCTTCTGGAGGACCTTGCTGAATGCTCTCTCCTAGTCCTCTCTTTCCTGAGGATCCTGGGAGTCACTTACCGAGACCCAGCAGGGTGCACAGCAGTGCGAAAGCCAGCAGGAAGGTCCTCGGTGTCACGGAGGGCCTCATGGTGTGTGGCCCAGCCGCCCCTGGTTCCTGGCACTTATAGGAAACTGAGGAGGGGCGGGTCTGGACCCACCTTCACCCTGGGGTGAGAAATAGCTGAGGTAAGATCTCAGGGCAGGGCCTCTGCGGCTCTGGGTTGGGGAGGTGGAACCAGAATCCAAAAGGGATGAGGGCATCTTGTGACCAGCCCCCTCCTCCACAGGGACCGCAGGAGTCTAGCCTCCCAGTCGCCTCTTCCGTCAGGACCCAGAAGGGCACTTTCTTGTTTTATCGCATTCCCCTCCCCCACCCTTTTTTTCTGGTCTGAAGCCCAAGGTCAAAGCCAGGTCACCTAATTCCCTGAAGGAGTAGAGCGGCTACGAAGACTGACATCCCTTCTGTCTCTTTTCCAAAGAGGCACCTGCATGGGTGGGACCATACCTGGGAGCGCCCAGCATGTCTAGGCTCGCTCTGCCTGAGAGCCTTGTCTTCCTCTTCACGGGCTTGGCTCACACTCTCTGTTCTGTGTCCGGGTCATCTCCGTATCCTACCCCTGTGGAGCTGTACCTCTGGTTCTCGCGGAGACCAAACAGAGGGGGTGCCTGTCAACCCGCAGGGATGGATGTGGCAGGAAGGAGACCGATGCGCACAGGTTCCTTGTGGAAACTGAGGCGTGGGTGGAGGCACTCTAGGCTGGGTGTGTGTGTCTGGTTTGGGCTCCTGCTTTGTGTTTTATTTAGGCTTTTGACCCACTCTCTCCTGGCCTCAGGCAAAACCCTGAGAGAGAGCTGAGATTTTAAAAAAATTTTTATTATTTTTTTTTAGAGATGGGAAGGAGAGAGGGAGAGGAACATCAATGTGTGGTTGCCTCTTGCACACCCCCCTCTCCCCCACTGGGGACCTGGCCTACAACCCATGCATGTGCCCTGACTGGGAATCCAATCAGCGATCCTTTGGTTCACAGTCCCAGCTCAATCCATTGAGCTACACGGGCCAGGCTGAGATATTTTTTTTAATCATCACCGGAGGATATGTTTATTGATGAGAGAGAGACACACACACACACACACACACACAGAGAAACAGATTTCAAAGAGAAACTTCAATAGGTTGCCTCTCAGACGAGCCCCAACACGGGTTGGAACCTGCAACCTTTTGGTGTGCAGGGCGACGCTCCAACCAGCTGAGTCGCCCGCCAGGGCGAGATCTGAGATTTTTCTTTCCTATGTGTGCGGTGAGGCACCTAGAGCAGGAAGAGTGTAGCTGCACAACCAGTGGAGTGGATCCTGCTGCGGAGGGCCAAAAAACCATTCGGCCTTGCCTGTGTTTAGCTTTCTAGGCTCCAGTTTGGGAGGTGACAGTTTCGTCCAATGAGAATGGCGAATTTCTTCTAGCAACCAATCACGGAGGCAGTCCTGTTGTTAGCCCTCCCAAGGGGGCAGGACGTAAACATCACCAGGAGGAGGGTCTAGAGAAAAAGCTCGTTGCTAGGGAACTCAGCGCCTCTCAAGGGAGAGTCGCGACTGGGCTTGCGCAGTGTTGACGCCAGCGCCGGCGCGCCGCGGTTTGAAAGGCCCGAGCCTTGCGCGCTTGCGCACTTAAGCGCGCGCATGGAACAGCACCCCCCCTCCCGACCCCTAAACTCGGACCCTGCTTCACCTTTTGGGTCCAGCAGATCCCACGACGTTGACATGCCGGAGATCCGCCTCCGCCATGTGGTGTCCTGCAGTAGCCAGGACCCGGTGAGAGCCTAGCGTGGGGGAGGCTGGAAGACGTAAAGGGATTCGTGAGGGGCCCCCACGAGACCTTATGGATTGTAAAAGGGAACTTCATGGAAGCCTAATGAGGGTCACGGGGGCATTTCTGGGTAATAAGGGAATTCTAGAGAGATGTGGGCACTTCCGGGAATCTGTGGAAGTTCTGGAGAGAAAGGAGGAATAGGGGAGCTTGTTTGGAGAGCTCATAGATGAACTTCCGGGGGAAAGTGTTGTAGGGGACACAAGGCAGTAGGGGAAAGGGGAACAGTTAAATCTGGGAGATCGCAGAGGGTTTGGGAAGACTCGAAGGAATAATCTGAGAGCAGGGGACCTAGCTCTCATCTCTGTACCCTAACTTCCCCTTTCCCATTCTTATCTCCAGACCCACTGCGCAGAAAATCTTCTCAAGGCGGACACTTACCGAAAATGGAGGGCAGCCAAGGCAGGCGAGAGGACCATCTCTGTGGTGCTCCAGGTGATCCTGCCCTTCCCCTGTCTCCTGCCGATGAGGAGTCTGGAGACTCCGGCTCCAGACTCCAACTGACATTGGGTCGAGGCAGTTTCCCTCTGGGCCTCAGTTTCCTTACCTGGAAAAAGGGCACTGTGGTTGCCATAGGAGAAAAGTGATCCAAGGACTAGGCCAGGGATGACCATAGGAATTAGCGTGTGGCTGGGTAGGTTGCTTCTACTTTCCGGGCCTCAGTTTCCTCAGCCGGAGGAGAATGAATCATTGCCCTGTACCCTGCCTTCTATAGTCGGGCTGCTCAGGGTGCGAAGGTGTCTCGGGAGATCGTCTAAGCCCATCAACCCCATTTTAAAGATTGGGAAACTAGCACATGCAGGGGAGGAGTGAAGTAGCCAGTCTAAAACTCCATTTCCGCAGTGCTGGCCAGGTTCTCTTTGAGTATATGCTCTCCCCTGATCTGCACCACAGACAGTCCCATGAAGTTGGAGGGAGGCAAACAGGAAAGGGTGGTTTGACCTGAGATGGTTACAGAATTCCAAACAGGCTCTTCCTGTCAGGAATAAGAAACTGGTGGGAGAGGAGAGCTAAGTGTGTTTTAAGCAGCTGCTCTTTGCCAGGTGCTGGCCTTGGTGTTTTATTTGCACGAGCTTGCTCTTCACAAGGGCAGTGTGGTGTAGGGGCCATTATCAGCAGTAAATAGTGGCAGTGCTAAGACTCGAACCCACAACTACTGAGTGTTGGTGTGTATAACTGCTTTGTCATACTGGAGAAACATTGAGTTGTTCTGCTTAATCATTAATAAAAAAATCATTGGTTGATTTTTAAAAAAAGATTTTATTTCATTTTTACAGAGGGGAAGGGAGAAAGAGAGGGAGAGAAACATCAGTTGCCTCTCCCTCTCATGGGCCCCCTACTGGGAACCTGACTTGCAACCCAGACATGTGCCCTGATTTGGAATTGAACCTGTGACCTTTTGGTTTGCAGGCTGGTGCTCAATCCACTGAACCACACCAGCCAGGGCTCATTGGTTGATTCTTGTATGTGCCCTGACTGGGGATTGAACCCACAACCTTGGTGTATCAGGATGATGCTCCAACCAGTTAAGCTAACTAGGGCCTGTTTTTCTTGATTTGGGCCATATTCCTTATTTCTGAGGTGTTTGGGGAGGTATGTTGGGGGCAAGGCTTATGTGATTATGTTTGATACTGAACATGTGCTTGGTCTCTCGCGTGTAGTATTTCTGAAAAAGTTTTTGGTCACAAATCCTTTTGAGAATAGGAGTGAAGCTGAGAATTCTCATTCTAGGAAAAATACACAGATCTACAAGAGAATGATTTTAGGAGTTTAAATATTTCATAAGTCCCTACCATAGTAGTAATAATACTGGCAACTAACATTTATTCAGCGTAACAACTGCCAGTCACTAGCTGAAACACCTCATTGGATCCTTAACATACCCCATGACCTAGAGTCTTTTATTATTCCCATTCTGCAGATGAGGACACTGAGGCCCAGAGAAGTTACACAGCTTTTCTAGACCAAATGTTTTTAACTGAGGGGGATACAGGTTGCTGATGGTTTAGTCTTGAGAATTGCGTTCAAGCCCCCAGCTTTTCCTGTTATTCATTATTTGACCTCAGGCCAATTGTTTCATTTCTCTGAACCTGTTTTCTTACCTGTCCTTTGGGAATAATGAGATTCAAGCCCAGGGTTATTGTGACGATGTGGTGACATAGTGTCTGCAAAAGGGCCAACCTGTTGGTGTTTGTGTAAAGGGAGGGATCTGTGTGTTTATTACCCTGTGATGATTCCGCTGGGCTCTCTCAGGGTCCCGGGAGAATCTCCTGTGACCCTAGGAGAATCACATCTCATTCTGTGCCTCAGTGGCAGAGGGGGCAGGGGGACGAGGGAGCCAGAGGGTCAGGACGAGGCACAGGGTTCTCTGAGCCGGGAGACTGAGGGAGGTAGTGCTACTGTGGCTGAGGTGGGGAACCAAAGAAGGGGCGGCTTGAGAAGGTGAAACGTCCAGTTGACATGCCCAGGCTTGGTAGGGCTTTGGGACATCCAGGGGGCTGCATCGAGGGTGCAGTTAGGGATCGGACCCGGAGCTGGAGACAGCTGTCGAAGTTGTTAGCATAGCACCTGTAGATTCAGGAGTGGGCAGACTCATTTCTTTATAAATTCCTTAAACGTTTATGAAGCACCTTCTATAGGCCAAGCTGTTTTAGCTATGGGGGCCTTATAGTGGTGGATAGCATAAGATATAAATGTAAATGTGATAGTCTTGTCGAGCTTGCATTGTTAGTGAGGAAAGTCAAAAGTGAAACATAAATCAGCTGACGAATGTTGTGGACGAAAATCAAACAGTTAAGCCGAATGGGGAATTCCCCAGCTGGCGGAGGAGGCAGTGGCAAGAGGTTAGACGTTTAAATAGGGATTCGGGGAAGGCCTCCCTGAGTGAGCAGAGTGAGCTAAGTAGTGAGCTATGCAGATTTTGGGGGAAGAAGCACAGGCTCCTAGCAGGGAGGCCCATGTGGGCGGAGGAGAGTTGCCAGCGGGGGAGATGTTGGAGAGATGAGCCAACAGGGTGGAGACGAGGCCCCATGAGGCTGAAGACCTGAAAGTACATTGTAAGGACCTAAGCGTTTTACTCTGTGTGAGACGGGAGCCCCTGAAGGGCTCTGAGCAGAGATCGGAATCTGACTTAGGTTCTCACAGAATCCTGGTTGCTGTGTTGACAATAACCTGCCGGGGCAAGTGCATGAGCGAGCAGCGCTGCAGTGGATAACCTCTCCGGTGTCAGAGGTCCTTTGGGAAATGATTGCTTCTGGCAGGTGCCAATACGCAGGCTGACTCTGTCTTCACCAAGTACTGATTTTGGTTCTTTTCAAGTGATGAGGCTGAAATTTCTGGACATCCAGACTCACAGACTAATCTGTGTTGCTTTTTCCTACTACCCTCTATTTTTTCCTCCCAGCAATATTACGCCCCATCAGGATAGTTCCACACGGGGCTCTGTGCTTGTCAGCCCCACATGCCGCTCCTGTTTGCCGGGGCCGCCGGAGTCTCTGTTGCCAACCCGTGGCCAGTTCCCAGGAGGGGAGTTTTTGTCTCTTTGCTCACTTTTCCTGGGCCAGGGGGGTGGCTGGGACACAGTCCAGGTGGAAGTCCACAGTCCAGGTGGAAGTCCAGTGCCCCACTGGAGGTGAGTCCTTTAGGAGAGATGTTCAATAGCAAGGCGGTGCATGTTTCTTTTCTTGCTTTTCAGGGGTTTTCTAATCGCTTGCTTTTAAATTGGTTTTTAATCTTCTTTTGATGTGTAACGTGTCCAGGAAAGCACAGAGTTCTGTGCCTCCCAGAGTACGACCTGTGTGCGTCACACACAGATCACGTGACAGGGCGTGCCCCTCCCCCAGGGCCCCCTTGCGCTCCTCCCAGTCACCGTCTCCCACAAGGGTAACCGTTACCCTGATTTCCAACAGCACGGATTTGTTTCACAGCATTGGTTTTGGATTTTGTGTGAATGGAATCGTGCAGTAAC